ATATCTATCCAAAAAAAATTTTTCTCTACATGATGAAAATTGCGAATAAAGAAATTCAAAAGTTTTGATTTTTTTCTTGGTTTTGTACTTTGTGAACACATAAGTTATCTTCCAATATTCATTCATATAAATTTTCAAAGTCTGACTCCAAAAATACAAAAAGTAATGCATTATGTAAAAACTTTTGGTAATTGTAAAATAACTCTTAACTTTCAACACTCATATCTTTCTAACTGCATAACTTTATATTTGGACTTGGAACAAAAATTGAAACATATCTCACTTTCCACTCTACAATTGATAATTTTTTTTGAAAATGTTTTGAAAGAATATTTTTAAGTACCTAAGATCATTTTTGTGTCAAACGTACGTTGTTTGGACAAAAAAGCACATTTTCCTACTATCTATTCTTGTTGGCTCCGTCAAATTCCACAACCCTCAATGTCAAATCATCTTGGGAAGAAAAACTCTCCAAACGCACAAATTTTTCAAAAAAAGCAAAATCCTTCAAATCGTCAACATGTGAAAACACAAAGTTGAGACTAAGCAAAATGAGCCGCACATTTTTGTACTATATTGCTTTTCAAGAAAACTTTCCAAATAAAACGTAATACATGTAATACGAGTCTGTAGTAAAATTTGGAAGTACGTAGTACATTTGACTGTAGTACAACATGTAATATGAGTTTGTAGTACAATTTAGAAGTACGTAGTACACTCAATTGTGGTACAACATGTAATATGAGTTTGTAGGTAGAATTTGGAAATACGTAGTACACTCAACTTTAGTTACAATTAACACACAACATCCACATTATTTATGGTTCTTCTTCCTCATTTAAACTCACACAAAACACTAATTACATTGTAGTTCAAGTCTCAAGTAAATTCCACGACATCATCCATGTATCTTCATGGTATCAACAAAAAATTGTGTAGTTGATGAGACTTGGGGCAGTAATTGACACGTGTCATCGGGCAGGAAATGTGCGTTGCTCATTTCCTGTCTCGCTTTGCGCATCCGCGCGCGTTGTGTCTCGTTTGCGTACATTCCAATGTGTTTGCACTTTGATATGCTTGATGAAATCCATCGATCAAATTTTGTCAATTTTGCATCACTTCAGTCTCTGCTCGATTACTACATGGGTCGGTTCTTGATCAAACGTTAGATCAGTTTTTGTCATATGGTGAGAAACAACTCCGTTGCCACTAGAATCTATCACATGACACTTGAAAAAACAAATGAAATTTTTTGACAAAATATTACAAGATCAACACTACAGTTTTTAGAAAAAATGAAAACATCTTAAAGTCGTGTGCACTCGCCTTGTCAGTCGCTTGCGCAAACTTGATCGTTCCTGCCTGACTCAGTTCAACTCAAAATCTCTTTTGTTTTCTTGACAAAATTTGATTTTCTTAGTCGAGGGAGTGATTAGTCAAATAATCGGCCAATCCAAAGAGTGTATTCAGGTGCAAGGAGCTGAGGCTGACGTCTCTTTCAAGAGCATATGAATCTGGAAAATTTGTTGTCGTAGAGTTCAGTTTGCTTTTGTTGTTGCAGTACAAGAGAGTGGAGGATCTTGACACTCTTTAGCAAGCGGTAGAGAAGATTGTGTCAGTATATGACAAAATTCATGTCTACTAGAATTGAGGTTTCGTCGAGGGTTTAGCACATGCTACAAGTTTGTTGCATAACTCGTAAAATCTTCATTCAATTTGCAAACTCGCAATTTTAGATTATGCAAGATCGAGACGTGCACGTCTCGATACCGCTGCATGACACGAAAGAGACAAACTATATGACTTGGAGAAAATTTTACTTCTTCTATCAAGTTCGATGCTACACTTGACACAACCATCACTTGAAGACAAGAACAAGCTAACACGAACTGTTATTAGTCGAAACAACTCCTGCAACTCTGAATAAAAACTCTCGACAAAACTGTTAGTGAATCCACATTCTTTGATCTTTGACGTCTCTGCTTGCAGTTTTCAACTCTCACCAGATACGCCACCGTCTTATCTCTCGGTTTGCTCTGATATCACTTGTAAACTATATTTACGGAGAATCAAACAGGGACAGTAGAAACTCAAGAGTGAGAATAGCACGCAGAAATTATGTGGTTCATATGGTGTCAGGGTTACGTCCACGGAAAAGCGAAACACGCGAGGTTGTATAATATGCGGTGGTCTTTGACGCAAGTGAAGGGGTTTATATACCCCCACGACTAAACGAGACTGAAATAAGAATAGAGTGCTAAATAGAGTGCTAACTAGGATAATCCGAAATACTCTCAAGATACTCTAGACATCATATTTCTAATTTTCTAGTGCAAATAAATATTTTTATAAATATTCTATTAAAAATAAGTCATACTTGTGTGTTGATTGTATGTGCTGATATAGATATATTTCAAGCCTTGTTTGAAACCATATGCTGAACTTGATTTAGTTTTCATCTTGGTCATCTTAAGTTTCAACTTTAAAATGTTCACGACATTTCAAAATTTTGCTACAATTAGCATCATCTCCGAATAAATTGTAGTGTTGAATTTGCATCATGGAGGACTAGTATAAAATCACTTATATTCTTGAGTAAGATCATGAATAACATCTTTAACAATTACATGCTTTACCGATCATTGTAACAAGAATCCGTTGGCTCTTGGTCGCATTGTAAAAAACAACAAGGGTGACTCTCGTTCAACTTTTTTTGCCACGAACAGTAGACAAATCTTCAGGCAGTATAACAACATAGAAGGCAGTAAATCATGTATCGTTCATGCTATAGACATAATTGGGATTGTGAGCTTGTGATAATTTCCTCAAGTTTCTGCAAGGCTTCCAATTTCTGAGAATTATTTCGATCTACAATATCACTTTCTCCATGAAAAAGTTTGGACTACATGTCCGTCTTCTATAAAAACTTTGGTACCCCAAACAGTTTTAAAATTTTGACATTTCAGCCTCGTTTCAGCAATTTGATTTGCCTTGACTGGTTATCAAAGAAGGTGGAAGTTTAACACAGAGTCTTTGACATCATTTAATAAATTCGAAGTATTGATATTTTGCAATTTTCCAACACAACAAAGTTTTTCACTTGAAATAATTTCCGTATTGATCTTAAAATCTTTAATTTCACCCATTACAGAGAAGATGTTTGGGATGGTCTTATCATACCCAACATCTTGGGATGGACCCCGTATTCTCTCGCAAGATTCCTCATATATAAGTCATTACCGGCAACATTCTCCATAATCTCAATGATTTGGATACGTTGAACTTGGCTGACACGCTACCCTTTTGTCTCTCCTCTTCTTCCGAACGTTACGATGCTGATCAATGGAAATGAAAATTTGTGCTGAATCCGCAATCCGATTTCCAGAACAGAATGCAGATTTAGAAAATGATTGCTGTAGTGACCGCGTGTGCGTTTGAACAAATAAATTTTACAATGCTGATAGTACATCGTTTGTAACATAATTCTGGAACAAAACACGAGTTGCTTTTCATAGAAAAATACACAATACTATGAAGTATTCATCTTCGTACTCGCAACATGTTTAGAATGACGACCTCGCAATCAACATGTGTCAAATTTCAACTACCGTCCTACAAATGATTGGACTTAGAGAATTGATCGAGAGGTTCGACGAGTCCCACGTACCGGTGTGAAGAGGACTCGCATTTGCCGTTTCTGATACTCGATCATTCCTTGCCACAACTTACGAGTTGAATTTGTAAAATATTCTTAAGGTGGCATTCACTATTGAGTCGAAGCCATGTCAACCAAGAAAGATGTCTTGCTCAAAGTCATCATTCGTAGCATGAATGTGAACCCATCCTAATGGTGGATCACGTTTGGATTCTATAGGCAGAGAAGTAAGAAGCTGACACTATCAAAAAAAGAAACCGAATGTGTTGTGCTGTCACTGAGCTGAGGTGTAAGACTCTCCATCCATTCGGTGCATGCAAATGATCCCGAGGAACAAACTTACCACAATGATGGACAAAAGTGCAAACACGAAGCGCTTGTCATGCCATACTTAGATACTTAGATAGCCACCGTCTGGCAACAAGGGCCAGTAGCGGAGTTCATCGCTCAACATTCTTTCGGTTGCGATGATTCTTTGGGTGATTGTGGGACCCCGGCGGCTTCCCCAGGTCGAAAGGTCACATATCCATCTGCAAAAGATGGTATCTACTGGGCTTACAAGAGCACAGTAGCTCGAACAGCATCCATTCTATTTGTCAACAAGCTAACCTTTGCTCTCAAAGCTTGGTGTGCGCAGGAATTCTCACCAGCAGCGAATCAAATCGACACTCAACCGAGCCTTGGCACTGCATGTATCCTCGCAGTGGTGGATCGGAAGAAGGAAACTCGATGACTGCCCTAAGATCGACGGCGAATGGTGATCTCGAGAACGGAGTTTGTGAAGCTGGAGGAGGTCGTGCTTTCTTACGTGTCAAGTAACAAAATCGAACAAGGCAACGACAATTCCATGTTGAGTCAGTTGGACGGTTGGACCCACTTATCATTGCGACGAGAGTGGTCTAGAAGTAGGTCAAATATCAAAACTGTGCCATATGTTGTAGAAGAATCCATGTCAAGATCAAGGAGACACTGCAAGGACACTGTTTCCCTGACTTGCTCTCTTGATCAAGATGGGAGAGTTCCGGTACACAGGAACTTTGTGTGAGCAATTAACCAAAGACGATCAAGTCCGATGTCTCCGACTCTCGTTGGACATCGAAGAGCAGTGGCGGATAGCACCTTCAAGATGGAAATGACTTGATGGACCCTGGGCAAAACACTTATTGAGGCATGAGGCACGATTCATTACCCGATGGGACCACGACCGTCGTTACGAGTTCTTGTAACTGCTTTGTTTACGGTCCAGCATGTTTTTTAAGTTGATTCCCGCACTCAACGATGGATCAGGAAAAGTAAAATCGACTGCAGCCCCTTGTGTATGATACTCTTGTGTTTGTATCACGGTGCCAACTTGAGATACAAATATTTTCGCAAATTTCATGCTCTGGATTCTTGTATCATTACATAAACTGGGGTACTAGGGAGTTACTACGGTAAACTAGAATTATCAACTCAACTCGCCACATATCAATGCTCCAAGTCGTCATGTCCTTTTGCTAACATGCCGGACGAGAAAATTATCATACCCTAAATCCATCACTCTGTTCACACTAGGACGGTGGGCTGGAGTGTCCCGTAACGTAAAATGAATCGTAGGTGTTATGCGTAGACTCAAACACGATTCTCCGGAGGAGCATCAAGTGATTTCTCATCTTCCAGTGATCGATCAACACACCGGATCAGATCCATCAACCCAAATACGCTGTCTTTCGATGTCGCTTACGTGGTTCGAATGGCAAGTCTGAAATGCAAGTGCCGTCATCATTAATTATGACGCCATCATCGCTTCTCCTCGTCCAAAGCTGTAAGACGAAGGAGTGTAGCGAGCCACATCGGCAATTCAAGATGGGAAAATGGTTGGCACAAGTTGTGAATGAAACAGGCTATGCAGCGATGTGATTAAAGCAGGCGGTGCAGCGGACTCGGATTTATTCCTGGGCCGCAAAACATTCGGAAAGTGTTTGATTTCCTGATTTGTGTTGCTTCCGTTTCGATCGAGAGAGAAAGAGAGAGGATGACGAGCGACTGAAAGGACGGAGAAATACTCTCGATCCAAGAGTCCGGCTGTCAGACGCTGATTATGGGGCTTCGGCTCCACAGTTCCTGAAGCTCGGAACCCGAAAACCCTCGACAACGAGGAGGCCGCGCGCGCCACAGCCTCCGATAGCGTCGGCGACCCATGATGGACCCAAGAGCATGACTATTTTCTCGATTATTGCCTCTCCTGCGGTTACCTACGCTCGATCAGACCATGCATGCCGTCGTTCATCGCAATAGGACCGACAAGGCCTTACACTTGGATTCACTGCACCGTCGTTCTGCCAAGCTCCCCTGCCTAGCTCATGCCCTCCTCGCAAATTCCTTGCATCCGACATCTGCCTGATGTCTTTGGAATGTGGCAGTCTCTGGTCGGTACTGTATCCCTGCTCAAGCCGGGGCATGGCTCACGTTCTACTGTCATCGTCGCCGAGTAATCAGATTTCCCACTCAGCGAGCTCCTTGGAGCCTCGTTGAGCGTTCAGGCAGTGCACGAGGAAGGCGAATGTGATGATCAACAGTATGAGGCTGCTGCAGGCCTCGATCGTCAATAGCAGGCGATGTGGACAGTTCAGCCACTCGATCGCATTCTGCTGAAATATCCACCGTAATTCAAGTAGAAGGCCGGAGCCGGTTCAATTACGTGCATGGAACTATGGTTTCAAACCTTTCAGCGCCAGCAGTCACGCTGGTCGCACTGCCGGGTGAAAGAAGGTGTTCCAGTTTTACTGTCAGCTCGCCTGTCGCTTGCGTATGCGGTATTCCTTACCTTCAGGAAAACAAACCTGGCGACGGGTACAGTGCCAGATGTGGACCTCGAGCTACGGAGGAATTGCTCTGGCCGTGTTCGGATCCACAAGGCTGTGCCTGGATTGAGGGTCGTATGATTAAAGACGAAGACGAGGAAGAAGAATAAGAAGAGGAAGAAAAGCGACGGGGAGCGCTGTGGGTGAGGAGCTGGACAAATGAGAATCCATATCCACCGCTCTTCGCACACCGAAGTGTCTGCACTCGGTGTCGTGTGCGGAGGAGGCTTAGGGCTGAGGGCATCCATCCACAGCAGATTAGGAGAAAGCTGGCCCTTATCTGACATATAAAGAATGCTAGGAATCTTGTTCTTTTCGAGAAATACATCCAAAAGCCCACAGAAGGGGCAGCAAGCCAGACAAGAAAAGAGAATTACTTCACACTGAGGACCACGATGCAGACACAGCCGGCACATTTTTTACATGATGTGAAGGCTGACCGACTGCGCTGAATACATCAGAGATATAGAGAAACTGCACAGGCGCCAGACCTCCAGACCTCCAACGAGAGGAAGTTCACCGCGGGAGGGAGGTAGGGGTAAATCAGTAAACCTCAGCGGCAGAAATCGCAATCTCAGGGTGATGGATCGAAACCCAATCTGAGATTTGACAAGCGAAACGACAAGCGCAACGCTGTTGCACCGAGATCAGCAGTAATTTTAGAAGGCGCACATCGGTCGTGGCGGTGGGAGAGTATGGAACCGGTGCAAGCAAACTGAGGAACCGGTTCCAAGATCCTTGGTGCGAGCAGAATCTTTCGGTGTCGGACATGGCTAACTCGGAGAGCATTACAGAGTGGATAAAAGGCGAAGCGACCAATTTCGACAGGTGGGGAGATCCCTCCAACACCCCCCTTGACCCGACCGAAGGGACTTCGCCGGGAGCCACGTAATCGAGCGCAACCCTAAAGGTTTGGCGAAGGTGACAAAATATCTGAGCCCCGAAAGATCGCAAGGATCGAGGAGCGAGGACGAGGCCGACGACGATGACGCACCCCGGGGCCCCATCGCCGTCCCCTTCCCGGGCAGTCGGTCAAAAAGAAGGGGGTGCGGGTTCTTGGCGTATTCGCTCGGAAGCGAAGATTCTGCTGCTGGTGGTCCTGAAAGCGTGCGGTGGCCAAAACGCTTGCGGATAAGTCCTCGGGGCCGCCCGCCCGCCCGCCCGCCCGCCCCTCCAGGTCAAACTATTTCAGCCGGGCCCGTAGCCCGGCCTTCCGTCCACCCTCGAGCCGAGTCCCGGCTGGCGGAGTTCTGCTTCGGATTTCGGTCCAGTGAAGCTCGATGTCTCGATTGCCGCGTGGGGATTACGATCGAGTTCCGCACCTCCTCGAGAATCCAGCGTCGCATGATCATGTGTTCGTATTTGATGTCTTTCGAGACGTATCCGAAGAGAATCGTCTGTGTTGAGGGTAGTGCTCATTCCTGTGCCCTGAGGCGACCTTTCCTGCAGAAACTGTTCTCTATGCATTTATTAGCACCCAGTTGAGGAACAAATAAGACTTTCTTAAAGCTGTGTTTGGAGACCGATTTTCGTCAGTCAGACTGAAAAGTACGACGAAGTTTGTAGGAGCAAGGCCTTCCAGAGTAAGCGGATAGAATTTTATGATGGCACGTTTGACTTTTTAATGGACAACCATTGTAACTTTACCTCTCATTTCACACATATGGTCACTCTCCTGACGGTTCCACGTAGGGTTGGAGGCACAACCAAAATTTTCAAGGCATGCCCGTGCCCCCTTCCAAGGTCAAAAGGCATGACTCATGCCCGTATCAGAATATGTATATTTGATGTATAAAAAATATACTTATGTGAAAATAAAGCATTCTTAGAAGTAATAATGCTGAAAAGCTCAGAAAAATACGTTTAAATTTGTTCCTACATATGGGCATGCCTCGTATGGAAGAATGCGAATTAAGCATGCCTTTCAGGTTGTGCCTCCAAAACTAGTTCCACGGCAAACTATTGACAGTATTTCTCTTTTTCCATTGCGGTCTTCTAATGTTGTGAACTTTTTTTAATCCATGTGGCCCATACTTTGTCCAATGAGTAGTGGCATAGCTGTGTTTTCTGATGCGAACGCAAGTTCTGGAGAGGGCTCCAAACTCGACGATGATACTTGCTATTACAATCCTCTTGGCCCCGCCTTCTATTATTGACAATCTTGTGTTACAAAGTAAGGGAAAGCGCTACTGCAAAATAGTTCCTGGTTACTGCAGATTTACTGACATTCACGAAGCGATAACATCAATAGTTTCAGTATTTCTGGTCTGAACAGACAAAGTATGAATCTGTATACCTGTATTACTTCGCATACTCTAGTATATAGTCTTTGGGACAATACCGTAGAGGAAAAATCCGAAGGGTCGAGGAGAGCCTTTCCTAAGATTATTGTAGGACGGGGACGTAGTAAGGGTAGGAGTGTCTAGAAGATAAGGAGAAGGACAATGATAGCACTTGTCTCCAGTTGTCTGGTGATGAGGTTGCAGTCTGGTGGTGCAGAAGTCCTGATTTAGGTCAAGGACAATCATATATCTGACTGTTGTGGTACGTGTGCATCCAGTCACCGGGTGGAAGCACTCACAATAACTCATAGAATGGATAATTCTTTTCCGAACCTGCTCCTCCTGTTTCATCTGCATCAGCCATTCACGAAGCTCGGCTTTGAAGCGGTGACTCCAGTCGGTGGCTCGGTGTATGTCTCACATCCAGGTACCGACTGCTGTCAAACGGTATGTGGTCCCTTTCCTTTACCCTGTACGAGTAGAGAGGATCGAACGACTTGACACGTTTGGAACCTGGTACTATTGCATTCTAGCGATCGATTTATTGTGAATTCAAGGATAATATAAAAGGGGTCTGGACTAGCAAGCATGGTGTGCTGGATTCGGAAAAAAATCGGTTACAGAACTACTTGAAACCGAGATTGCTGTCAATTTTACTCCATGGTTGCGTTAGAGTAAGAAACATGGTACTTCAAACTTGAGAAACACTTCTCTGATCGCTCTGCGTTTGAGTCCTTTGCACACAAGGATTCCTTATATTCCGGCCGTAGCCTTTTCCCAACATTAGTACAGTATCAGAAAACGACAAGAAGTAACTTAAGAAAACAATTGTTTTAGCAGATGACTCGTAGAAGTAAGTTCTGAGGATGATCAGACACAAGATGGTTCTGAGGACAAAATGATTTGATATGCTTGTTGGTTGCTTACGCCTTTCCTCGTCAGAGAGGAGACTCCATAAGAGTACACCGTGGAAAGGTTAGAGATCATGTGGTCATCGTGTTCACTGAGGTCTTTGCTTGACCGAGTTGGACGACATAACAGGGAAATCACGTCAAACCAGCAGAAAAGTTGACTCGTGTTGCATGAGTTGTGAAAAAATAATTAACACAGGAATGTCAGTAATAAGATTATAAGATTGTCAGATACCTCCTTGACAAAAAAATATTTGCGACATCAAAAATCCAACATCGAGTGTGTAGGGAAAGTCGAATCGTCAACATGAATCCCTGGAAAGTATGTGATCGAGCAAATAAAAGAAAACAGCTTATCCTCCATAACAAAAGAATTAGCGAGGAGAAAGAGAGAGAGATAGGATAGTGGATAATGTGAACTCACATAATGCTCAAAATTTTTGCGCAACGTTGTAAGCCACTTATATGACTTGCACGCTATGTTCTTAAAAGATTTCTCATATCGGTGCAATAGAGTGACTATGATCAAAGAGAGGGCAGTGAGCGAGAAATCCATCATTTGTCCACACATCGACGTTCGATTATCTCTTCCGGAGAGAAACAATGGAAGCTTTTGTCGTGGTCGTAAAGTGAACCGAAGGAGGGTTAGCAACCGCCCGGGTCCGAAGAAAGAGAACCCCAAAAACATGACGAATGAAAAGTCGTATTAGCATCAAGTCGAGAACCGCACGATTATGATGGTCTCACCGCCATGTGTACGACGCGGAAACGAACGCAGTTTCCGTTTTGCCAAAGGTCCACATTTCGTACAAGCTTCCATGCATTGATACAATCCGTGGTGTTCGATGGGCCACAAAAAATCTGTATCAAAAAAGTTCGGGGCGCTAATTTTCTTCGTCTCCTTCTTCCATATCGATGTTGTGAGTCGCTGCTCGTCGCAAGCTCGAGAAGGACGATCAAGGACACACATCAAGGTGAGAAATGGCCAGTCCTCTCTAAATCTAAATACGTAAATCCGTCAATGGATTTCCGCATATTCTGTATTTGGTTTTCAAGAAGTTACGAATTTCCAGATCTTCGTGACGTAACTAGAGAGTGATAAAAGTTTAACATTCTAGTTCAGTCACACGGTTTCTGGTTGTTAAAAGCTTTTAAATAGTTGTTTTGGTTTAAAAGGAGCTCGCTTGGTAATTTACTTCCTGAAGTCAGCTGGATTCCACTGGTCGCTTTGTAACCCGTTGCAAAGTTGGAGTTCGCAAAACTCCGTTTCAACCGAAACACTTGTTACAGTATGGTCTCTGCATTACAAGTCGTGATACTCGATCGTCTGAAGTGGTTGCTGTCGGTCATGTTTGTTTTGGACGTGAAGAACACTTAAAATTGATTGGTTGGATTATCGTGAAGTTCTGCATGTTTCGGAAGCACTTTGCAATCTAATCTAAGCAAGTTCGAACCTACACTTGACGGCGAGTTACAACATTTTGACTCCTTTCTAATCTCATCAACTTGCAGTTTTGAAACCGATGGGACGTAGTTCTGAAAAATCAAGATCGTTTGTAAGTTTTTTTGGCAACAAATGTACATTATTAAAATAGTGAGTGAACACACATAGCGTGTGGTCTTTGTGCACCGTAAACATCTACTTCGTAATGACTTAATCAAATTTGATGTGATTTTAGTGAAGCTTGGACTATTCAAGCATTAACGATAGGTTTATTCGTGGAATAGTAGCATGTACATTTCCCGTCACTGCCACCTTGTAAAACGATTTTACAATGTTAAAAAATGAAAAGGATATTCACATATAAAAAATAACACCCATGTCTCTTGAAAGATTAGAACAAATTCAAACATGATTGAAGAAAATACGAGAAATTTGTAGTATACTCCGTATTTTGTTTTGATGGTTATTGAAATACGAAGAGTACGGGAAGTTCTCTATATAGAGAGGCCTGGAAATGGCGAAGGGTTCGGTACTGCTCGAGTAACAGACGGACCGATGACGCCAGCAATGGCGGAGCGTTGCGAATACGTACGGTGCGAGATCGATGATCTGAGGCCGCGAATAGGACAAGATTGGATAAGGAATTCGAAACTCGGAATTCGAACATCTGCCGCCTGCGAGACGCACTGTAGTGTACTCTGCTGACCTGGCGAAGGCAAGACGGGACGAAGTGGAATCTGCGGTCCAATGTACCGGAGGAAGTCCGACTCGTCGTAGAACCCGCGGCAGCAAGTCGACGGACCGACCCTGCTGGACGGACGGATGGACGGCACGGCCGGGAAATTCGGACGGGAAATAGAAAGCGGGACCGAGGGAGGGTACGGACACGGACGCGGACGCCGAGGCGGCGAGGAAGAAGAGTCGTGGCCTGCCGAAGAGGAGAGGGACTACGACGACGACGACGACGCCCGCGATTGCAAAACAGTGACCCGATATCCGGCTCTCCGCGGCTGCGGCTGCGGCCGGTGCCGGTGCTGGCTTGCTCGCGGCATTGAATATGTCCGGAGCAGCGGGCGGGCGGACGGGCTGGCGGGTGAGCCAAATCTCCTGCTACAAATATTCTCTGCTTCTCTCTGGCACAGCAACAGAAGATGAAGTGGGAGAACGAGGCCGTGCAAGATCTGATCTGACACCCTTCAGCAGCAGCAGCAGCAGGAGCGCGAGCGTTGAGAGCGAGAGCGAGAGGAGCACGACAGCGCGGCGGTGGAAGCTCGGCCTGGAAGCAAAGGCAAGCGAAGGAGAGCAAAGGAAAAGGAAAGACGGGCGCGGGCGGCCAACGGCCCTAGAGAATTGGATCAGAGGAGGAAGGGGAGGGGGCGAGCATCGAGTTCGTTCGGAGGAGACGAGAGGAGCGGCAACGTGGCGGCACATGCAGCAGCGCAGGAGAGGCGCGGTTCCATTGCCCCGCAGCAGCTGGTTGCAGAGCGGGGAGATCGCTCGCTGGCGGCGGATCATTGCTCTCATCTGATTCCGGCCTGAGGGAGGGCCTGTGGGAAGGTGCGCAGCTGGGATCGGGCGAGTGGAGGCGCGGCGCCAATTCTTCTATGCGTGTGCAGATTTCGCGAGCGACGGTAATTGACTGCGAATTTGATCCGAATTGAGTTCTCGGGCTTTGTGCGTGTGTAGTCGTCTCGTGTGTGTGAGATGGGATGGTGGAGTGGAGTGGAGGGAGAGGAAGCTCTAGAGGCCTGCATGCATGCAGCAGCCGCGGCAGCGATTGCCGCATGAGGGTGCAGGTGCCGGAATCGCGTTCGTCGTGTGGAGGGGCTCGGATTTGCTCGGGCTCGCGTGGAATTGGCCTCGTGTTTGATGGCCTGCAAGTGAGTGCTCTGGTCTGCGGTGTCGAATTGAGGCGTGCGGATTGTCTGTGGGACGTGATCGAAGCAAATTCTGGTGCAGGTTGTTGTGCTCCGTGGATTTTGAAGCCTGTCCCCTGCTGACGCTTTGCCTCGACGGCAAGAGGTCGCCCTCGTCTTGAGCTCCTCCGTCGATCCGTCTTGCCTTCCGAGATTCATGACTTGCTCTGATTCTCCGAGAAGAAACATCAATTTCGCTTTGCAGGCCAGTTGGCGTCGATGCCTGCCGAGGTTTTCGACTCCCAGGCACGATACGAGTTCACAGGGCTCTGATTCCATTCGTGCCGATGGTGCCGGATGATGGCATGGCTGCGCTCTCGTGAATCCTCGAAGGCGGATCATCTTGAGCGTATGAGGACATCTAGCTCGTGGAATTGGGCTCCTTGCTGCCCTCCGCTCCTGCACAGAACCGTCGGGGGATGGTCAGATTCGTCGCTCTAGCGCAGGCCTCTCCTCTCAGACGTGGCAGAGAATTACCCGACTCTGCCGTACCGAGACCCGAGGAAAGAAGCGAGGCGATGCGGTGGTCTCCCGTGACCGTCACGTGCTTGGTCTCGGCCGAGGTCCATCCGCATGTGTAGCACGATTGATTGATTGATCTCGGATGTGTTTGCACTTTCAGCTGCAATTACCGGTCAATTCAGCTGAATTCTCCTGGTACTGTGAGCAAATCTCGGCATGACGTCGTTGGCGGCAATTCTTCGGCTGTACGCTGGGAGGGTTTACGTCCGTGATCGGACTTTGTTTCAATAATTAAATATGTCTGAAGGGTTCGTGTCTTGTGTTGTGTGGCTGCAGGGCATATCCCGCCATGGCAGAGGTGCTCAGTGATTCGAAGGGGCTCATCCGTCACCGCGGCCCCTTCTCGAGTTTCAAGATTGAGATGCTAGCTACTCCAATTAACAGGTTGTTCATCTCGTGACCGGGGCTTCAAACTTGGAAATGCAACGAGGAGATGTATGACTGAACGCACTTTCGCGAGCATTGACGAGGATATCCAACTAACGGAGCAGCTCTATGTTGCCAGGAGCGACTTGTGGTTTGATTGTACGACGCCGTAAAGCACAAGATAACTACTTCGCTCTATCGTAACTCCGGTGGTGAAAGCAAGGAACATTCCGTGGCATAGCGGTTACAATTGTGACCAAGAGGTTTCTACCTCTTCTGTTGGTGCATGTAAACTTGGGGTAAGTAGGACCACCTCAATTTCCTGCTTCTCCTTTTTTGTGTGATGTCTATTCCGAAGTTAGATCGCCCAGATGGACCTCCTCTGCTGGTAGCGCTCGATCATGGAAGGACGAGTGGGCAAACATCAGCATCCTGTTTGAATTGACTCGGGATCGAATTGCGGAGCCTGGACTTCCGAGCATGGGATTGATGAGCAGACTCGTATTGCAGAAGGAGTCGAACATCCACATAATTTACGCACTTACGCCGGTTGTGAGCTGAACGTCAAAATGGGGAGCGCATGCTCTAGGAGGAGAGATCAACTAGAAATTGAGGGACTCGATTCGCAGTCTGAGGTATCAGGAGGCTTGAGCAGAAACATAAGCTTGAGGTGGCCCGTGAAGCAGCCCAGCTTTGGAAATGAACAGGAATTGGTACTGAAGGCCGGAGAACACCCGACCCTGTTGGACATAGCTGTACGGCATACATGCCAGGTACTTGATCGGTTTGAGGTGAACATTTGCAATGGCTTATGGAATTTTTTCAAGTTGCCGGACCTTTCGATGTCTGTGCAGTTGAATCTTTTCATTCAGTCTGCGGATAGACCGGATGACTTACTCATCATGCATTGCCTAATCCCCATAATACGATCCTGTTGTTGCAGAACATTGGAAGGTATAGATCCTTGGCCACTTTGCCGAGAGATCTCAGCCAACAAGTATTCAATGAGCTTGTTCGCCGCCAACAACTCACTGGTCAAAACTTCGTATTGTTTTCAGAGTGTGCTCTTCAGGTGCTCTTCTCCAAAACGTAATCTTGTGTTATACGTACTGATTTGAAAGTAAAATGTACTTACTATTTATGTTTGGCAGCGAACTAAAGGACATAATAAAGTGGTCAACTACGCTGCTTCCTCGTGTACGATTTTCAACCGTGTAGGATTTTACTGGAAATGTATATATGGATGCAAGCGACACCTGCAGGAAGCTACACATTGAGGCTAGCATGCAAACTGTTTCTCACCAGGAAAAGGATACAATCCGCCACTTTCTAGAATCCTGATGCAATCAGAATCCATCAATCATTGTTTGCAGAATATGATGTGGTTGCACTAAATCCATGTGCAACGCCCATGTCTTTCTTCTCTCACATTTCACGGTTATGTTCATAGTGCTACTTTAGTTTGGCTGTTCAACACCACAGTTACTCCAGCTGTAAGTATGTTCATGGGTGTTCTGAGACATGCGTATGTTTTTTGTTATAACGCAGGATATACATCTTGGAGATTATGCCGGAGTGGACGACAGCTGGATGGAGGTTATCGGAAAACAAGGGGAGTCTTTGCTAGCGTTGGATATTTCAAGTGCACCCATTTCAGATGAAGGATTTTCCTTCATAAAAGGGTGTTGGAACTTGGAGGCCTTGTGTATGAATTACTGTTTGCAGATATCTGATATCGCATGCACAACATTTACAGGTGATGCACATTTTCACATAATATCTTCTGAAGTATTTGTGTGATGGATGTCACGTAGTTGTACCATCGCGATAACGTGTGACAAATGTTGGCATCACTTGTATTCGTTGTCGTCGTGAGGTCGCTCTGTGGATGGCAACATTGTTCGCCCCGTAGTGAATGGCCACTATCTGAATTGCTATTAATCGAGGTAGTCAGACCTAGTCAGATGCTTGAAGTGCAGACGGAATGCCCACGCAGCGTCTTCTAAAAACAAGTCCCATCATCCATGTGGTAAACACAGTTGGACACTACCACAATCCTGATGAGATCGAGCTGATAATCAACAACATTTCATCACATATATCAGTCGTTTGGAGTCATAGTTTGTAGTACGGTAGGATCTTGGCTAAACTTGTGCTATAACCCTCAGTGCTATCGCTGTGCATTTTTGCATTTCCGGTTGTGACGTCTTTTTCCCACAAATTGATTGCTGCCTACTAGTCATAGTTAGATTTTTACTGCTATTGACTAACAGTTGTCTTTGAGCTTCCCATTAATTCCTCTGGAGGTCCACTATGTGGTCATGTGATGTCTGAGTCGTCTCATCTGTAATGCTAAGTTAATTAAAAACGATATTCCATTTCAATGTGGAGGATGAATGGTGTGTGAATTTCTTCTAATCAAGTACGAATGCTTATAGGTAAGGTCATAATGTAATTGTAACATCTTCTGTTCATTACATCATATTGTCCAGAATTTGCATGCTCTGCTCTGGTGTGAATCCCGACGGTTTGTTTTCTCTGTTGTCACCATTTACTCGCTTGGCCAACAATGTGACTTGCAATTGCGTTTTGGTGATCATGTTCATCCTTCGTCCTGAAGTCCAGTTGACTCTCAAAATCGTAAGGGTCATGAAGTTTCTATCGACATTTTTCGATGGACTATATGAAGAGCATATTAAATATTTAAATCCTCTTATAGACCAGCTCCCTGCGAATCAAAGGTCTGGTACGTGTGTGAAATCTCTCAGATCATCTCCACCTCTATCCTCATTGTGAAGGCTATCAGGCATTATACACGAGGTATTCAATAGATGCGTGAGACATGTGATGTATCCGGATTTACTCTCGCTCAGTCCTTACGGAATCGAGTTGAATGATTTTCCACTAGGATAGATCCTCGACATTTTGGAATTTATCTCTATTTGATTATCTGTTGCAATTTGTGAGTTGGCTTTTGCAACTTTGAATCCGTCTCGTTTATCCGTACTTGCCATCAACTGCATGTGTTGATGATCACTATGCGCTTTCCAGCTCCTTTTCTTTAGAAGGGTACCATGATTTATAACTATTATGATGATCTCCACTCTATATTTAAATAATCCCAATTCATACATGTGTTTATTTACCCCTTTATATTATGTAGCGCTGGGCCAGGGCACGGGATCTATGGAATCCATGCGATGACACTAAATTGCCTATGAGCACAGATTATGTACACACTTTCATTCTTTCTTCTTTCAAGATGTTTGAGGTTTTTTACTCTTTCAGATACTTCTGTTATCTTAAAAGTCCATCGCAGCCCTCGCTTGGGAGGGCTGTAGAATTCAATGTTTCAACTCCTTAGGAAGCTTACATCGTGACCTTGTAGATAGCACCTAGTCTCGTTCTGCATGATATGGAACAACTTAGTAGATACATCACATTTGGTCAAGTTATTTCACTATCTCTATTTTTGTTTATTTTGTCTAAATATGAAAAATTCTAAAGCAGTCTTTGGATGTAGCTGAATCTCATCATTGGTTTGACCTGAAAAATGATTCTTACATGAGTCTTGCGATTCTAGACTTGATTGTAGACATTGCTTCCTCCTTTATTAGATTCTTAGTTGATATACAATACGTAGTAGGTTATGCTAGACACCCGAGCCATCTGAACGGAGTTTTTAATACTGCATTTCCTTTTGTCACAGGTCTAACCAACTTGACAACCCTAAGTTTCCGAAACAGTAATCTCATAACGGCTGCTGCAATGACCCATCTGTCTGAGCTTGTCAATCTAACAAGTCTGGATCTGGAGAAGTGTCCGAAAATACATGGAGGTCTTGCTCATCTGAAGGGTATGTGAACCTTCACCATTATTTGGTTCTACCTACTTACCTTCTTCAGTGAGGCTTAATATCTCTTGAGGTTCCATGCAAATAAGCTGAGGCAGACCTCAGCTTATTTGCTCTATATGCTTGCCCACATTGTGGACCAATTACTAAGTTTCCTTCTCCTACAATTTGAAGGGTTGACAAAGCTGAAGAGTCTAAATGTTGGATGGTGTATAAATATCAACAATGCGGACATAAGGGCAGTGGCAGGTATTTATACTAACCTGTCTGTTGCTCTCAGACTCTTGGTGTTGTAATAAAAGTGGAACATTTTGATTTTCAACAATTTTTCTGAAATTCAGTAAAGATGAAGGGAGAACCTGCTACATATTAGCAATTCGTCAAGATACCATTAGCTGAGTCTATTACATTTGTTCATTGTGATCAACTCTTCTGTCTTTGGTGCGACCAGAACTGCCTTTTCGTAGGGAGTTTGTTTCAGGGTTTATCCCCGCTTGTAGACTACCTGACCCTTTTACACAAGCTGTTTCCCACTTCATTTGGCCATGGAACATATGAATCAATGTTATTTATCAAAATCAACGAATGAACATGAGAGTTTCTGAATTAGTGTGTTATGAATATGTTCCACCCGTTTTCCATGACAGGTTTCACCGACCTGGAAGAACTGCAGATTTCTCGGAGCAGAGTGAATGACAACGGCATTTTAGCTCTGAGAGGTCCTTACCACACCTTGAAACTCAGCAGGCTTCGTCGAGCATAGACTCGCCATTGTTGGTGTTCAGTGTGTAATTTCTTTGACCTGATTGATGTCAGTTTTACGACAGAGCATGCTAGAAGCATCAACAAATATCAGACAGACTTCTACCAGCGCTCATTGGTGAGCGGTGGTAGAAGTAACCGACTGGGAATCTGAAGTAACAATACCAGTCAGAATTCTGAATCACACATTTATTGTGAAGTCGATCATTGAAAGAAGACAAAAACACAAGCCTCAAGATTTTCCTGGCTCTAAACTATTCGCATTACATACAAGACTGATGGCTAATCATATCTTTTATCCAGGATTGACGAAACTTCGGACGCTCTGTATGGAAGGGTGTCCTGTTACTGCGGCATGCATGGATACTCTGGCTGGTAAGAAATGTTATCGGAGTTTACTAGCGTATCTCAAAATAAGTGAGTAGTTCCAGTTTTTTGAGAGTTGATAGGGCAATAAGTTACCGATATGTGTCGAAACCAGGATGGCTGATATTATTTTAAACCGTGAATCATATTTTATCATACGATTCCATGGCCTGAAATTGGAAATCCTTACCATGGATATTTATTGTGTTTCTCAGGCCTGAAGTCTTTGTCCACTCTCAACGTCAAACATTGCCGCGTTACAGATACAGGTGTGAGGAAAATGGAAGGTAAGGTGAAAAGCGAATTCATTTCAACTTCGTTATGGCCTTTTGATCTTACTCTCAACTTCTGTTGATGTGAAGATTGATGTAAATGTAGATGAGTCGCTAAATTGGACAGCCCCTTCTTTGTGCTCTATCTTCGCAATACATAGAAGTTTTCCCGAGCTAATTTACGCAAATTCTTATGCTTTGTTGTTCACTCAAAGCAGGACTTGTGAATTTAAAACACCTGGATATGGGATACACCGAAATAACAGATATTGGTGCTACTTTCCTAAGAGGTATGGCTGAGTCTCCGAGGAAAGTCTTTTACTTTTCCAGTGCATTTCAGAACTTTTGGAGACTTAGTTCACGTGTAGATCAAACGTGGTCGTCTTGTTTGAAGTTTTGTATAAGATATGTGTTGCCGATGTTGACCACAGTTAGTCTAAATGTCATAGTCAAAACTCCACGCGCAGGTTTGAGCAATCTGGAGTCTTTAAACTTGGATTCATGCAAAGTTGGAGATTTCGGAGTTCAGCACTTCAAAGGTCTGAATAAACTCACATTCTTCAGCTGTGTTCGTGGTATGCTTGACTGCTCTAGATAGTAGCATTTCCTCGTTGACATGTGAATGACATGTAAGGTGACATGTCATTCAGATCATGCTTGACGCAGCCCGTAATGGCCTGACTCTTCGTTTGGTCCAAACAGGTCTTCGTAATCTTCGTCAGTTGGACCTTTCAGACACTCAGGTCGGCAACTCGGGACTTCAACATCTTTCAGGTGCTCGACGGAGCCGTGTTTGTGGCATGAATAGTTTCTGAAAAAAATCTTCTCAGCATGTCCAGTTTCGTTTCTTTTCATCATAGATGGGTTAATATGGCAATATTGTCCGTTGAAAGGTTGTTTTTAGCAAGACCTTTTTGTATATTAGTAAGGGAAGGCAATAGCTCCAGAGTGTAACTGTACAAGTGTTTGACAGTATGTTTCTTCAATCAAGAAGGCATAGCTCAACTTCTGCTCTTTTCGGTTATTGAGTGAGTTTTCTGAATCTATCACTACACTTTCGTGAAATTTGACAGAGGGTGTGTCAACATCCTCTGTCAAATTACAGAGGATGTTGACACACGGACATGGTTCAATGTCAGAAGACTTTCTTAACAGCTAACTTGTAATGTATCGACATAGGTTTGAACAAGCTGGAAAGTCTTAATCTGTCTTTCACCTCAGTGACGGATAGTGGACTAAGAAGGATATCAGGAATCACATCACTCACATCACTGAACCTCGACTCAAGGCAGATTACAGACAACGGCCTAATGGGCCTAACAAGTGAGTTAGACAATTTCTTTTGTTTTGATTGACGGCTGACTATGTATAATGGAATGTGCTCAGTCCTCTGAGATACCAAGGTGGTTGAGGTTTTTACGGGCTTATCACCCAGGAACATGCTGCCAACATCAATTGTAAGAGTTTCTCTATTCAGTCATTTTTAGCTGGATCTTAGTCCAACTCAGCTTGTGTTGACTTATTTGCCATGGAATTTCTTCCAGGTTTGACGAATCTGACGAGCTTGGATATGTTTGGGGCCCGAATTACAGACCAAGGCACACCATATCTGAAGCGTGAGTAAATTTGCACTGACTGCATGATCCACAGCGCGTATGTTTTTTCCAATCTAACAAGATATCTCACCGTCGGTGTATACGTAATACATAGCTGGCTACCCTGAAGTATCAAGCCCCTTAATCAGGCTTTAGAAATTTTGAAACTTAATCGACGGAAATCTCAATTTACATTCTGATCGATCTGTTGGGAGTCCTCTGTCAGATTTCAAGAGGCTACAGTCTCTGGAGCTATGCAATGGAAGTATTACAGATGCAGGTGTGAGGAACATCAAGGACTTAACGTCCCTTACCTCACTGAATCTTTCCCAGAATACTCATTTGACAGACCACGCACTGCAGTTTCTTTCCGGTGCGTCTCTTTTCCATTCATTCATTCCATTTTGTATTACATACCGTAAAGCTTTAAACTGATTCACTAAAGTCCTCCCCTGCTACTATAATGGAACTCCTTGTTGTGGCCATGATTCAGTTAACGCTTCTAACTTAAATACGTCAACGTGACTTTCTTCTGTGAACTGTCTGTGTTCGTTGAGAAGAGCCGTAGGTTGATGATTTTTGTGTTTCTACTATGTTTCTCCAGTAGATGGCCCCAAGTGTTGTAGTTGTCAATTACTTTAAAATATATTGTCCTCATTAGTGCCTCCCATATAGCCTGAAGATGTAAGACCTCGGGCTCATGGTAAACGGTGAGTTGTTCCATTGTGAAGATCTGTGCTGCTATGCTATGCTTGACTTGAAGTATTCTAAGTGATGGAGTGCCTTTATCTGTCCGGAAAACATGTAGGCGTGTTTCTGTGCCGCTTCTTAGCTATTGACGCTTCTTAGCTATTGACGCTTCTTAGCTATTGACGCTTCTTAGCTATTGACACGTTCTCAGAAATCATTTGTTATTACATTTAGCCGGCTGAAAGTTCCGACCTTAAGTCCGTAATCTGAAGGGACAGAGCTCTTCAGAAGAGCAGTCAAATATTGGATGTTTGCTCTCTGTGGATGAAGGTACCATCGTGGCTGCTTATCACGATGTGGATTGGTTAACGTCGTTGACATTTGAGAGCTGTGGGCACGCAGGCATGACCTCATTAGTGTCATTGAACGTAAACAACTCGCGTATCACCAACGCAGGGCTGCAGCACCTACGACACTTGAGCAATTTGACCTCCCTGGCACTACATTCGTGCAAAGTCAGCCAAGATGCAGTAAACATGCTTCAGTCATCTTCCTTACCGAACCTAACTGTCATTCGTCGCTAGTCAACTAAAGAGTGGAGAAGGTGCTTATTCTTCGGCTTATTTCATTCTCTACAAGGGGAGTCACACACTCACAAGCTTACAGAGCAGAGAAGAGAAAACGGAAGCTGGTCAAGGAAATGGCAGAACCTTTGGCTGATTCACCGAGAACAGGAGGATCATGCGACAGAAAGAGCTTCTTATGCTGTGCGTTGATAAGTGGATGGGACGAGACACCATCAGCGCTTAGAACATCCACGTCACTCTTTACACGTCAGGGAGCGAAGACGTCTTTCACGATGAAACCAGGATAGACTTACTATGTACAAATGCAGCTGCTTAGTGTAAATTGTGTAGATCGATAGAAACATAATGTTCATGGATTGGAGATCTCGACAGAGCCATTATTGCTGATGGCTCATTGTAATCTAATTGGAATTTAATCCGGTGATACCTCCCGACCGACCGAGAGCACAGCGAGAGAGAGAGAGAGTATAGGACCAGTAACAACTGTAAATATCACTTGTTCTGTTCGATACCCCCACCTGTCTTAGAGGTGATATAGATAGATCGATACGGCACCACCAGCACAAGGATCAGAGTCTCGCATGTTGTCCACTTAATAATATCACGTCTGGCGTTAGCCTGGATCTTATACACGTTCTTCCCATGGCTCGAACGCATTGTCGCTCACGCTCGTTGAGTGTTTCACAATGTGTTACGTCTGTTTTGCTTTGTTTGGGTGGTTCATCTCAAACCCCATGCCTGCTCAGATTTTATGGAGGCGGTCAGTCGCTCGAATTGAATACCACATGCTTTGTATACTCCACACACCATTTCATTTTACATTTGGGGCGAGCAGGTGTTCCTCGAAATATCTGCCCGCCCGCTTGCTTGTGGCATAGAAGACAAAATGCCTGCAACAAACCAAAGAGCCACAGAAAGGAAGAGTTGATAACAGGAAGGCAAATTCATATCTTCCCCACTACAATGCCAACCTGCAAACGCGGGGCGCGAAAGTTTCGCAGCCCGACCTCCCGCTTGGAGCAGGGAGGGCCGCCCCGCTCCAGCTCAACCATAGGCTACTCCCTCGCGGCCTCCCTTCCCCACAGGGCCACGCCCCCGAGGCCTCCTTCGGGAGCATTCAATGCCCATCTCGTTCCTGCGAGTTCTCGCCGCAATGCCCCTACTGTCAACATTGGGGTGATGTATTCTCCATTTTTTTCTACTCTATTCACAAGTATATTTGGGGACTCCTCTCTTTTTATTCCAAAATAAAACAATAAAACAAAGAACTCATTTTTTTCCAAAGCCCTCTTTTCTTCTTATTTCTCTTCAACTTTTACATTTAAGTAAATCTATTAATGTATTATCATGATGGAGAATCATGAGTTAACTCATAATGAAGGATTACACAAACGTAAACTTACAAAATGATAACAAAATCAATGAAAAAATTCAAACCATAAACTTTACTTCACACAAATCTTATGGTCATAATTTTTACAAAAAGTATAATTTGCTACTCCGTCTGTAGCAACGTTTTTGTAGTACAAATATCACAAGTGACTTTGGGAAGCTTATGAAAAAATATCTTTTTTTGCTTGGATCGTGAAAGAAGTACATGTGAATAGCGCTTCAAAGGGGGGCGTGGAGCACTTGTTTGACCAACTTCCAAAATCTTATGCTTTTTCTCATGTCCCATTCTCGTTCGCTTCACGTTCTATTGGATGGAAGCAATAGAACCTCGGAGGAGAAGAGTAATTGTATTGGGCGTTTCAAAATTTGAAGTCTCCAATAATGTGCCAAAACAAGCTTAAATGGTTTGAAATTTTTGCTTTTATATCGTCTTCATTGTCATCATAAAGAGCTATTTGACATAGTAATTTGATTTCACGTACCATGTTGAACGTCTTCTCATGCATTACACCAATCGAAATAGCCTACTCCCTTGATACATCCGGTTGAGTTGGAGTCATAACCTCCATGTCTTCCATATTGATTTGTGGAGTCAATGGTTACTCAACCACTTCACTTTCTTTGAGTACTTCAAAAAATACATTCACAATAGATTGCACACCAAGTATGTGTTTGCAAGTGGATATAATATCAAGATAATCAGAATAATGTGATTTCAATTAAACGCTATACCATAACTTAGTAGAAGTCTCACTCTTGACATGAAAGAATAGATGTTCCTCGTTAACCATCTTTAAGACATCTATAAGACAAGATTGATAAGACTTCAAAATTCGTTCTTCTCCTTACAATCGACGTCTATGAACCTTTTCATTCCCTTTCCCGTTGTATCGTTCCAACTCACCTACAAATTCAAAAAATAAGTTTAAACTTAGCCTCCTGTTCAAAATATATTTTAAAATAAAATAAAATTGAACACAATAAAATAAACATAGAATAATATACAAAAATGAGTAACTTACTCAAACGTTGAGTCATTTTGTATTGACTCAATAATGTGAGTTGGCCCACACAAGTGCCATCTTTGGCACTACCAACAATTGTCACAATAAGGTCTCGGAGGTACCGGTTCACTTTTTCTTGTAAGAGAGTGTATTTAATCAACTCCCAATGTCTTTCAATATGGTTAGTTGTATCTATATCTCCATAAGCAAATAATCTCCTAAATCGGGGTCACAACCTTCTTCAAGTACAAGTAATTTTGGCATATCCAAAAATCACATATTTGACAAAGGTCGGGATGTGTTGAAACTCAACACAAAATCTTCTTAAATTCTTATCAAAATGGTCATCATTGAAGCAAAACATTAGAACATGTAAAGCCCTCCACATCTGATACTTGTACTCATTAGATACCTTGATTGACAAGTTTTCACTTCATGACTTCATAACATGGAAGTGACACAATAGAATTTGTCCACCAACTTGTGTCTTGGTACCCTATTTATAAATCCAGCCAATGAACATCATTGCTCACAATCCTTTGAATGACATTCGAAGATAGTTTGTGTTTGTCAATGATGATTGTGGAGGGTGTAACATATACTAAAGATTCAAACACATGGGAAAATGCTATCTCTATAGCAAGATACTCATGTACCTCTTTAACGTCATTGCAATAAAGCATGTAAAAAACCAGAAATCCAATTCCATCTTGGTTTGATACAATTGCCGCATAAAGAGATAAACCGTATTGGTTTGTTTTGAATGTAGATTCCAAGGCCTAAGAATTATTATTTGAAAACCGTAAGGTCGATTTTTGCATGAAATCATCTTGTATAACTATCACAAATGGTCTCTTCTTGGGGTACTCATTCTTGGGTGCATACGGTTGATAGTACAAAATCTTTCTATAGCACATCAACCGTTCTCCTATGAGTACGGGTTTTGTTTTGTCCACGATGATAACGGTAATAAATCACGGGTATGGTTTTCCCTACTTTGCATTTTAAACGCCTTCTTAACACAATGTACTGTGTGCAAAGTGCATCTATAGTTGCACTCAAATCCTCCAATGGAACCTTCACTATCTCATTTCACATTTTATTCTCTTGGCATACATCACAAGAGTTCATATAATTTTGTATGAATGAGGTTTGAATTTCTCCCACATAGCTATCCGTATTCTATTGAATAAGAATGACATTTGTTGTCATGTTGACATTTGTTGTCAAGAATAACAAATATTTTCCATTTTTGTCAATGTGTCTTCCATGTGAAATGCAACGCAAAGATTCTATTGGCTGAATTTGTCTACTCTTTGTGTCATTCAAAGAGAATAAAACAAATCCATTTAAAATTTCTACAACCTTTAATCTTTCTTAAAGCTTTTGTCACCTCTCAATTGTAAGAGATTCCACATTTTTGTGGGTGAAGATTAGAGAGGGAACAAAAGAAAAAAATTGTATCATGAATTTATTGATATGAGTGAAAATCTCATATTCTTATACAATCAATCATGAGTGCAAGAGATTCGAGATTGAAGTGCATATACTTGGGGAATGTTTCAATAGGAATGTCTTCAAAAATTGATGAAGATGTTGAAGCTCCAATGTTGACATGCTCCACATTTTACTCTAACATTTCCTCCCAATACGCCAAAATCTCCTCACCAACATCATACTCATTCTCATCCGACTCTCCATTTGATGACAAGAAATGAGTTTCTTGAAACCCTAAATTTCCAATATGCACACCTTGAAGAAATTTTTCCACCAATCATCTCACTTAAATCGTCTTCAAAGTCGGAAGGATAGAAATTATCATACTCCGTTTAGTCTTCATCTTCTTCCATCTCTCACACCAATGCTTAACACAAACTCTACAAGTACACCAATTCAAATTTCCATTTAGAACAAAATACTCAAATGAAAATATGCTAAACTCTAAATTATTACAATTGCAAAATATTGGATAAACACGTATGTAGAGTTAAAAGAAATGGCACTTGCATTGTACAATTGAATGAAGATTAAAAGAACATAGAGAGTTGTATATACCTTGACTTGTTGGAGTAACATTGATGATGCAAGTGTGGGAGAATAGAGTAAGAAGATAAGCGGGGAAGAGTAGAAGAGGAGTAGAGGGGAGTATGCCAAAATTGCTTACAGTTTTGTGAGGGGAGTAGCCAAAAAGTACAGAGTACATCACCCCAAAGGATCTTGGGGGCACATATAGGTGAGGGAACGAGCGGAAACGGGATGGAGCTGAAAAGAATAGCGGGAACGGACGGAAACAACAAGGAGGTTGCAAGGGCGAGCTAGAGCGAGGAAGGCATCTGGATCGGGCTGCGGTCCAGGGTGGATGGAGCATCGGGATCAGGCGAGCTGGAGCGGGGCGACGACGGGGAGCAGGAGATTGATCTGCGGGCTTAGGAGGGTGTCGCATTGGGATCAATTGGGGGAAGGGTGGCTAAAGGCGGGCATAAGTGCACCTTTTAGTGGTGAGTGTTGCCATATCTTCACAAAAAGATGCATCTTGGACTAGTTATAATTTACCACATTAAATATTCAATTGGATATATTATATATCATACTTATATTAATAGATTGAATCAGCTTAATTTAGGCGCTTTTGTGTAAAAAAACCACCTAGATTCTTGAATGTAGAATTGGAGGCACGAAGAATTTTCTCAAGTCATGTCTTTGAAGGCTAAAAGGTATGGATCTAAACTTCTAAGCCCTGCATATAGGAAGTATACTTCTAGTGAATCTATATAAATAAAATTTTTAAGTATATAAAATTATTTGGTTACATTGTCAAGATAACAAATTGTCTACATTCCAATCTTTCTCATCTACCAATTCTCTATGGATCTCAAAGGTTGACTCATAGAGTTTTGGAGATGATTCTTGTTTATATATAACAAAATCAAAAGACATGTCAAAATCTTGATGAAAATCATCATCATCCTCCCAAGTAAATTCTAGACACTCCAAAGTCAATTCATTGATCGGTATCATATTGAATTCTTTATTTTCTTCAAATGCTATATTAATGAAGTCTCTTGCTAAACTGTGAACAATGAACAGTACAGTGAATATGATTTTGAATTTATGTTAAGACTTGATCTAACGATGGCAAACATCTTCATACATTGCACCGACATACGATTGCAAATTTTTGTGTTTCATGAGAAAGATGTGAAAATAATCTCTACATTGCGACGTTATGAAAAGCAATAGAAAATATTTTTAATGCAGAGACAAGCAAAGCATTTGCACCAACAATAAATTTTCAAAAATTCATTGCAAAATTTTTGTTTGTATTGTTTGTGAAAGCTCCATCCCTAATGGTTCAAATCCGCTAACCATGAATTTGTATCCGTCTTGATGAAACTTCATCCTTCAGCACGATTTGCAATATCTTTCCGAATGTTTTCGTATGTCATCTTTTCGGAGATGGCAACCAATTGATTTTGAGAATTTAGTAAGAGAGCTAAAAAATAGATCGGATGATCAAATTCAAAATAATCTTGATGACGTGAACTTTGAAATTGCTGTAGTTCTCGAGACCATTGATGTCTTTCACAATTGTGTACAGTTTAATGAGTCGGCAAAAACTTAATCTAATGTGGTTGAACTTTGCTAAAGACGAGTCATAATATAAAGTTTCCGATCGGGTTCGATTAAAATCCAAAAACTCTAATTCATGTCGCATCGAATTCGGGTAGAATATTGTACGTGACCTAAAACTCTATATTTGATAAGAATAAAAGCGACAGAATGTGGCACATTTAAACATAATAAACTTGACAAAGTTTAATATCTTCGTGTGTATTCTGGAATTATGTAAGATATCTTTTGCAAGTTCTCCCTCAATTTGGTGTTTTTTGAATATGAATAATCTACTAATTCATCCATCTTGTTGATTCAATTTACAAAGCTTTTGTGACCTCTTTGATTGATTCTTTTGGTGAGTTTTTGATATCGTAATAAAATATCAAGAAATTCAATGAGGATGGACCAATGATAGTTTGATTAATACATGATTAGTGCATTTGAACGTTTTTTTTCCTCCGAATGATACTAGCGAATGTCAACCTCTTGATCAAGGTATCATTTGATCTTTCAAAGCTCATTTTCTTCTCAGTTTTCCATCAACAATCAAATCCATCTACGGAATGAACTTGGTTGGGTGAAATCTGCGTCGGATGCCATAGAGTAAAATACTATTTGAGAGTGTTTTGTTAAAGCCAATTGTCTATCTTTTGTATCGAACGTAAATTTGAATCAAGACATAAATAGATTCAGCACAGCTTAAATCAAGCCGTGGATGATTTAATGAAAACTCTTCAAAAAATTCGACTCAATGATTATTTTTTAGCTTCCTTGGTTCTTGATGACTTAAGTATATAAGTAGTTGCCGAAGAGCTTACTAACCTCGATGCTGTTAATGCTACTGGCGATGATTATGTTGACGATGTTAGCATTGACAAATCGGTTTTAGAGCAACATAATCTCTTGCACAATGATAGTACTTCGAATGATGATGATTTTGATGAAATTCTGCTTTTGATCACTTTCGAGCAGGCGAATTGAACGATCACTGACTTAATCAAATTTTTTTTTTATCGAATCGTTTATATCGACAGAATTACATAGTAAATTGCTTTGCAATCTCCAAAGAACTCGTCGTCCTTTGATACATCAACAGAACATTGAGAACTTTAGACGGTTGAAACAATCGAAAATCATATTGTAAATTGTATTTATATGATTCGATATATCTAATTTTCTCTCTTTTTGAGTTTAGCACACGGTTTATGTGGAGTCAGGTTCAAAAAGTCTTGCGTAGATCTAAATTTTTCTCTCTTCAATTTAACACATGGTATTAGTCGTGTGCGTTGATTGCTGGATGCCTGTGAGTAAGATTTCTAGGATAAAAAACCACATAATTCATCGAGAGTATTTATACTCAACTGTCGGAATCACCGCATGCTTTCGCGAATGGCCAAAATTTGCTGGAATTGGCCACTATGCTAACAATTCTCTGTCGAGTTTTTCACCCACCTTTCCTACGGTTAATCGTATCCCCAATACGCAATTTATTGTGGATAGATCATCTATATATCACATCCAAATTGAGTATCATCGATTTATTGATGATACTCAATTATCAATGATCGATTTATGTATATTGTTTGCAAGTCCGTCAGTAGTGTTGGCTTCCATATTTGTATCTTGTTTGCTAACTATTAAGTCGTTTGAAACTCCATTAATCTTTTTGTACATCATAGTCCAAAATATCGAGATGTTAACATTTTGACTCGAAATCCTATTGAGAAGAATGTACCAAAAGACAGTGCTTGTGATTATGGAAGTTTAGTTATGTACCTAGGATTTTGTCGATGGATATTTCCTTTTTGTGTTTTCACTTGCCTGATTAATAATGAAATACTTGATTTGTGTAATTTGATGTCTGAATTACGGGATGACAAGGCCTCTACAATAAGTACATAAAGCACCAAGTCTACGTCGAGCGCAAGATCGACAACCTTCAAAAATCTTAACACTGCAGCTCCCCTAAATAAATGCGTCTGATTGACATAAAACATAGAAAACAGCTCGATTTCATGAAAATCTCGGGAGCCACGAGCCTCCAATTGATACTTATTGTCATGATCAGGGCAATTAGAAGTTGTATGAAGTTGCAAGTTCTTGTATATGGTCATTAATGATGCATTCACTAAATAAACTCTTCTTAAAGGAACATGAACAGAGTTTCATCTCAAGAAGATAGTTCGATAAGGTGCAACAAAATCATGAAACTTATTTCAGTGAAAGTTGGGTCTTGGCCTCGATGTAACAATAAATGCAGACGTGCACGCTGAGATATCTGAGAGTGGAGTATTACAGAGATGCTATGAAGTTCTTCGTTTTGACTAAAACAATGGGAATGGATTTTTATTCATGATTCACAAAATTGATCACCATTTCATGAAAAGTTACTTTCTCACTTGAAAATGTCAGAGAGTGTGTGTATATTGACATGCCTCATCGATTATGCAAAGATCAGTCCATAAATACTCATATCACTCCATCCACTAATAAGTGAAATGTAGCCACTTGATAGAAATGAGCTTCTATTGAGATGTCTTGATTCACGCACTGGCAAGATAGACAATTTTGTTAATTGAGTCTTTCCACTATAGCTCGGATGGAATGAAGCATATGTCGGATGAAATTCAAATCAAGTGAGGTTTGCAAAAAGCATGAATGTGTTTAAGTCGACCGATGTGACGCCAGGAAAGTGGCAACTAGCTCTGGTACCTTGCGCAGGTATAGTTGAGGTTGAGAGAGCTTGTCCAAAGCCACAACACTCCACAGGATTGAAAGATGTTTCTCATAAAGGTGGCCAAAAACTCGTACAGAGTAACACCTCGTATATCGTCTTCTACACCTCGTAAGGGTGTTGTAATACACTTCTTCTTCCTTCAGCTCTTTGAATACCATGTAGAAAACTTCGTCTATGGTACTTTCCTCTTCGCCGACATCATTTGATCCGTGACACGGATTCAAGGACTGAGAAGACTGTAAGCACTGAGAAGAAGTGTTCATTTCATCCGAGAGTTGAACTCTTCACTGTATGGATAGATCAATTAACAACCTCTGAACGGAAACTTTTAACTCTGAACAAACAATTTTGGCAATTATGATAGTTATTAAAACTTAACACAGTCACTATTGAAAAATCTAATGACACTATTAATAATAGTGACGAAATGTTATTATTAGATAGAATTATCTTGTAGAAACTAATGATTCTTCATTTTCATGTCACCAATGGGAGTATTTCACTCACACTCTTGGGAATTTAACTCTATACATAACAATAACATAAAAATTCCCGGATATCAACGGTCATACGGGCCGAATGGCTTTAGTGACAAATGTTACTAGTCACTCATTACGAGGTGGGCTTTGTAGAGAACGTCGCGATGAGTTGCTCCGAACTCGTGTGTAAACCTAAGAGCCGAGCGGAGCGACGCACTTCCCCCGCTATCGGCCGGCATTTTGCGTTTTGCGTTGCGTTGTGTACTGCCGGACGTAAATCGTTCGACGACGCTGATCTGCGAACGGGAGTGTGTCTGATGTCAGTCTGCTGATCCGCAGGCGGTGCCAGAGTTTGTGTCGAGAGGATTCAGAGCAAATTTGTTCCCCGGGGGTTCCAAGTCTGCGGAGATTTCATGAATTTTGCTCGACCGTCGTGGAATTCGGGAGAAAGCTGGAGCTGATTCTGTGAGCCTCGCGTCTTGTGCCTCTCGATTGGAATTTCGTTGTCGAGCTCGGCAGAGCCAATAAATTGTCGGGCCGTTTTCTTGGCTCGTACAAGCCATCGAATCGGTTGGTTGGTTTGGCTGATTGGTGTCATCTGCGTGGAGTGATCTGTGAACTTTCGATTGGAAAAAAGACGCCGAGGGAGTCATGCCATTTGGACAGATTGTTATCGGTCCGCCCGGGTCTGGGAAGACCACCTACTGCCATGGACTGTCCCATTTCTTTGAGCTCATCGGCAGGTCTGCTTCTGACGGGACGTACAAAGTGATCGTATTTTTGCTTCAATATATTCTCTATCCGAAGTTCTCTCGATCATGTCGGACGCCTCAGAACCGTTTGCATTTTCTGGACAATTGCGGTGAATGAAAGTGTTCTTTGAACTTCTATTAATTATCGTGGCGGGCTACTGATATCCGCGAGCGCTGTCCTGAATTGCAGGAAGACTGCGGTTGTCAACCTCGATCCTGCAAATGATACCTTACCGTATCCTGAAACACGCGTTGAGTTTCAAATTTGTCACTCGTAGAACTTCCTAGACGGCAGCTTCTTTTCCAATGTAGAGCGTGGATGCTAGAGTGGAAGATTATCTTGCAAGTTGGGTCAACCTTGAACTTCGCCCAGATACGAGTGCGCTGTCAACATCGAGGAATTAGTTAAGCTGGAAGATGTGATGTCGGAGCATAACCTGGGGCCCAATGGAGGTTGTCCCTTGTTTTCTTCCATAACCTGCTGCGAACTCCCTCCCACTCCTCAAGTAAAATGAGCGATTTTGGCAGGCATAGAAGTTGGACCAGTGAATAATTTTCCTGCTAGTTACAGTCCATCGATGGAAACGTGCAATATTTCCGAAGAGTCTTCAGCGTGGGAAATGTTCGTACAATTAGCAATGTGCAAAGTTCTCTTTAAGGTTGACACGATTGCTTTCTCTATTGATTCCTACAGGTTTGGTCTACTGTATGGATTATTTGGAGAAGAACATTGACTGGTTGAAAGCGAAGCTGGAACCTTTTAAAGGTATATCGCTCTGTTCTCGAAGTGGAGCTTTGAATTAAGGGTTCTTTTTGTCCACGAAGAATACTCATGCATACCAAGACATCTGGACTGGACAGTTGTGCAGGATGAAACTTATCTGACCAAAAGAGGTCCCTGTCGTGGACTTGTCTTCTTTATGCAGATCACTACTTGCTGTTTGATTTTCCTGGCCAAGTGGAGCTCTTTACATTACACAATAATGCAAAGAATGTGATCACGGAGATGGTTAGGAAATGGGACTATCGGGTAGGTTTTCTGTTTGATTAGCAGGTGTTTGCATGTCAGGAATTGTGGAATCGTTTGTTTTAGTTCTGATGAGCAGTATAATTTATCTAGGATGTTATGTCATGATAGACAAGATCCAAATTCAGGTTATCTTCTGCTTTACAATGAAAATGTTGGTCTACTTGTTGGCCGGTAGGCATGTTCTTACAATTTGGATGTACTGATCCAGATTTTTTTTGCAGCTTACAGCCGTGCATTTAGTGGATGCCCATCTTTGCAGTGACCCTGGAAAGTACGTCGGAGCACTGCTTCTATCATTATCAACAATGTTGCACTTGGAGCTTCCGCACATCAATGTTCTCTCTAAAATCGATCTTATAGAAAGCTATGGCCAACTTGGTAAAGATCAGTTCGCACTTGGCTTGGTCTGCCTGCACGGTTGTATTTTAGCATGGCTCATTCATAATATACAGGAAAAGGAGTGTAGCTGTTGAGAAGTGACATTGTATGTTGATAGCCCCTTCATTTACCGTGTGTATCATGTACATATGCTAATTTATCTACTCGATTTGACATTGCAGCCTTCAACTTGGACTTCTATACGGACGTTCAAGACCTTCAATACCTTCAGTACCATCTTAGTGAAGATGCTCGGTCTGCAAAGTACAGGTACTTGGATTTGCCTGCTTCCAGAAATTTATTGTTCCGGTAGTATACTTGGAAGAAAATTTGCAGCCCTACTTTTTGAAAGAATGCCTCCAAAAGGAGGTCAGTGTGGAAGTTATTGAGCAGATCTTGCAGCGCGGTAGATTTTCTTCCTCCCTTGACAGTTCTTCCATTCTTCGGGTGATGAGTGGTGGACAGAAAGCTAACGAAGAACCTGTGTGAAGTCGTTGAAGACTTTGGTCTGGTTAATTTCACAACCCTCAATATACAGGTTTCAGCTCTAACCTTATTGTGGAGAAATTGCTGTTGAATCTTCTGAACATACCACTCTCCTCTACCGAGTGTAGTAGATTATTATGTTGGAAAGCACCTTTGTATGACCTGGACTGAAGTTTGTTGATGGACTATTGATGCTTAAACCGTTCTATGTCGACAGGATAAAGAAAGTGTTATGGATCTTGTGAAACTGGTTGACAAAAGCAACGGGTATGTCTTTTCTGGCATTGAAGGCAACATCAGCGCTTACATGAAGATTGCTGCGGGGCCGACGAATTGGGATTACTACAGATATCCTAAAATACCTTCGATTACTTTTACTGCACCGCAAAGCTCACTTTTGGAAGCAGCCAAGAAATCATCATATGTTGTCCGCAGTCGGTTCCTTCTCTTTGACTGTAAGATTTATGTGATGCCATACCACAAGGTGCCACCATGTGTAATATGGTGGCACCTTTTAACCTTGTTGAGTTGTGGAGTTAAGTACTGGGATTTCCTTAACATCTGCTCACAACAGCTGCAGTGCAAGAAAAATACATGAAGGGCGATGCAGATCTTGAAACCAACAGGGGCACCCCCAGTTGAATCATTATGTCTACGACACACGATGACGTCATTCGTCGATGCTGTCAAGTGTTTTTTCTTCGACAGCCTTGACAATTCGGTCCTCATATTTGTAAAGCTTTCTGACGGCCTAGTCGAATCACCTCCTTGAACAACGGTGAGCAGGTCATTCTCGTACCTGCTAATTCTTTCTTTCGATAAGTATTAGTCTTCTCTGTAATGCCTTTTTGGCTTCTCTCGTGAGCGTCATATATTTCGTAGTGAGATACTTGGCTAAATCACAGTGGGTGTGCCCGATGCAGAAATCACGAGGTTGCTATTTCCCGGAGCAGCCATTCTTTGTGATTTGCGGATCGCTGGTATACCAGTGATCCGTTGGAGTCTTTACTTGCTGATGTTGGTCCCCATAAACAACGAATTATTAGTTTTCGGAAGTGTTGCGATAGCTTTCCCGTGTTTGAAGGGTTTGTACTAAGCAAATTGTGGGATCTGTAAAAAATCAATAGTAGAGAAGTCTTCTTCTGAATATGTTGGCCTGCGAGCAGCGCATGAACAAATAAATGTCTATGTAGAGACATGTAAAGATTGCAGTGAGTAGACGCCGGAACAAGGATTGACAAGAAAAAATGTACTTTCTGCTGCACTCTTTTATCGTCCTCGGGTGTCAAATCAATCTATTCCAAGTAAACCCGATCGTCAAGGTATGTCTAATGCTGATGGCTCGTTGTAGCTTCTGCGATCTTTTCATGTTTTAGCTATAGACGATTATGTTATCAATTAAAGTCGATTTCGCTCAGCTCTTCCTTACGGCCCTTACAACTGCCGTTACTGTAAGTTGGCATTCTGACCAGTCCTAAGGTGTGGTTCGTCGCGGAATACAAACAGCCATCGTTCATACGAAGGGTTCTTCCCTTATGGATCTTGTGATGCCACACGCAAGTGAAGACTAATCCGATCACAAGAAGCGCAGTCCTCTCGACTTGAAATATTAAGTTAGCAAGTCATGAGTTTAATCCCGTTGATGCACTGAATATAACACAAAAGCAACGAATGTCAAAATTACTGTAAGAACTCAACTCGGACTATACCAAGTGCAGCCATGGTACAACAGTCAGGGCAAAAGCACGCTTACTGGCCTTCCCACACAATCGAGTGAAGACATGACGAAGGACGCAATATTATGTGTCGCGCGTTGCAATATTGGAAGCTATCTCGATAATATAACCTCAACGTAGAGACAGTGGCTTACTTCCATGTCTTCCACTGAACACACAGATTCAACATCGCATGGCTGAAGTAATAATTAGGAGCCCAACTTTAAGTCGACAGGCACAATGCTGTTCTTCTTTAGGTGTGCGTCAAGTGCACCTGCCTACTTGGTTCAGGAGGAAAACGCCTCACTGTGATGTGCGTCTTATTAGACACTCAAAATCATACAACCAGAGTTTGACATGACCTCCAAAATTTACTCGGCCACTCACAGATGAAATATAGATTCTGTTCTTTAAAATGGCTGAGAAACTGTCATGCATCGTGACCGCTTGACTACTGTCAACTGTAACGAACTCAATACATTGATGGTCCGTCCTTTTATGCAGGATCTAAGGAAGTTTTCCTCATCGTAGGCAAAACTGTTGGGGAGATCACGTCCCCTAAAGAATGAAGCTGTATGTACTCTAACCCAATTCCTACTCTATACCTTAACCCTTTGTCCCATAATTGTCTTTCGGTGTGAGCTTCCTAAATGTCAACTGCATTATAAGTTATATGGCAAGTTGACCATGGCTTTGTTCTTTACACTACTGCTGATGAGTGGACAAGAGCCGAAATGAGACCCACGAATCTTCTGTTATGAGAATTTTCCAGCCCAACTAGAACTCACGTTCGCCTTTTCTTGTTGACGTATGTGCCTACTCTACCTTCACCGCCTTGAGATTTACTGATTGTCGATTGAGGTCTGGGAGGTTGACTGAAGGTCATCACGGGTGCAATAGGGCCTTCCGGCTTCGCCATGTGTGATACGTCAGGGATGCCCAAGGAACCTTTCACTCCGGGTTGTTTAAAAACTGCGCAAGTCCAACAGAGCTGTCAGAGACACCTATCTTCAACTAGGATAGATAGGTGTATAGTATATCCTAGTAAAGACGGAACAAGGTCCTCAATTCTAAAGCTACTTGCAAAACCAGGAATTCCACGAAAGTGAATCTAAGAAACGCCTATGCATGTCCTGCATATTCAACACAACTTACTTGCAGCTTGAACGATGGAGCAAACGTTAGCAGTCAACCAGTAGCAGAAGAGGGCCTGTTTGAAATATCGAAGTATATATTCGTTAGAGACCCACCGTGAAATGAGTGACGAGACAAAACTTGCCAAACAACTGTGGTTTTAAACGGAAATGACCAGTAGTGAAGTGGCTGTCCTTGAAAGAGAAGTCATAAGGGCATGCTTGAAAGATACGAGGACAAATTCTTGCAACAAACCTTTGGAAAGCTTGCTGTAAGAGGTACGAGTAGAACTGCTAAACCGCGCAGAGCCATCTTCATCTTCCCCAGCATAGGCTGCCCTTGCATACCATCCGTTGCCCCTAGCTGCATCACCGAGGTATCGGGTAATTTGTTTGTAAGTTCGAATCCTCAAAAAAAGTGAGGATGGCCAAAGCATCAAACTGCATAAAGATAGCAATCTACTGTTAGCACAGGACGCGAACTAGAGTAAGAAAGAAACGCCCCTCACCTCCACTGTCAACAGAAACATTGCTCCACTAAGAACAGGCATAATGAAGAAACTATCCGGCGTTGAAAGATCTGTAAACCAGAGGGCTCCTCCTTCCTTGAAGGACTCCACCCTTTCCGCCATGTTTCGGATCTGTTACAGCAGAAGTTCCAACCATAAGTAAGACAAAGAAACCACGGTTCTGTTAAGCTTATACGAGAGTCGAAATACATATGCTCTTAAACCTTCCATGATTATATCATAGTATAAAATGGAAAGAAAAGTTTATCGTGGGAGATACTTACTGCAAAGAAAAAACACATGAAAATTGGAGCCTGAACAAATGCTCCCAGAATGGGGGACAGAGGACTTGTCTTGTGCCTGGAACAAGTCAAAGGTCAACTCTTTCTCAGGGTAATTCTCATAATACAGCCTCGAACTTAAGACTTCCGCAAATTCTTGCTTATCCGATTACATACGATTGTTTCAAACTGTAATCATGAGTTATATGAAATAATTGAACAGATTCATTCCATGATATACATACTGTTGGAAAAGAAGCTTCATGCGCATCTGATTTTCCTCGACGACTTTAGGGTCGTAATTCTGCAAATGAAAACCATGTAATGAGATGCAGTCTCAATAATAAACTTCGCTAGAAACTTCATTATGAATATCTTCTTCTCGGCCAACTCTTGTCAAACACGAAGATCGACACCACCTCACAGCCTCCTGACTCTGATCCAATTTGAAAATCTCATAACGACGTACTCACAGTATGTTGGCCACACCGCAAAATTCCGCGACGATGTTCGGAAAAAACAAAATATCCAAGAACTCAGAATCGAATCTCATCTGGCAACAACGAGTGGCAAGTATAGCCAAACCTATTATCACAAATCTCAGATGTCGGTCACTTACATTTTCTTTGATATGGTTCGTCAGCTTCTCAAGTTCTGGTCTCATGAGCTGCACAAAAACACAACATCTTCAATTAACAAACATCAAGAGGCTAACCATCACTTCGCAGTGTATTCAGATTATGACGTCTCTAACCGACGCAAGGCAAAAAGCAATAGCTTAGGGTAATGGGGATTTTGAAGTTCCTAGAAAAACGTTTACCGTCAAACGTGCCGTGGCTTTCATTTGATAGACCAAAATGGGAAGAACCAAAATACGAATGGCAACGGTTGTGGCTGCGATAGAAGCCCACCTGCATCTCAACGCGAGTCTCCAGTTCAGTCCCTTATATAGTCTTCTTGATTCGGGATCCTCTCGTCTTTTTCTGGTGCTACTCAAGGAAAACCTCACAAAAATGCTCTTCGCCTCCCATCACTCTGACTCATGGAAAAGAGCATATTTATTCCAAGATTGTTGAAAAATGTAAGATTGATAACCCTTATCGTGTGAACGGGACCAATTGCAGAACGGCTGACAATTCGACGCGTTACTTAGCCCGTTCGCAAACTTACCAAGGGAGCCCGGTTGTTAGGTGGACCCCTTCAATCACATATTGAATTGCAGCTGTGGGATATGAGCAATCAGCAGCAGCCGCAGCAACTTCACTGATCACACGAGTGCCAGAGGTTGTAGCCACGGAAGCAACCGTAGATGCGGTATCGGCAACTCCAGCCAACGCATCCAGTTGCTCACCGCTGTTAATCTGCAGATTCTCCCCTACAGCAGGAGCAGTAGAGCTGTAAAATCTAACTTTCTCGGATCCAACTCTGGTCATCGGTCCCCTTCCAACGCCATGGAAACCCCCCGAACGTCCAAAACTTTGACTGGAGGCTTTCCCGGAACACCCTAGCATGGCGATCTGCGCGGAGCTGATTTCATTGGAAATTCTAGCTGGCTCCATGACTCGCCCTTCAAAGTCGCAACCGGTGACTCCGCCAGCCCTGACCACCTGCCCAGTCTGTTCCGCCACATTTGAACCGATTCCCACTGCAGATTCTTCCGACCTATCGATGAGGGAGCTGCATTTTCCAACATCCGCAAAGCTCATGAACTTCAATCTGGTCAAATGATCCCTCAAGTTCTCATCCCACTTACTCCACTCGGACGATCCTCCCCCTTCTGTCTGTCCTTCGTCCTGATTTGCCCGAGAAATCTGCGGCAAAGCGGGTCTCCACAAACCCGAGGATGGAGAATTACCCAGAGTCCGGTCCAGAAAATAATTCCTCCGAGCTTGCTGCTGCTGCGATTGCACCACAAGCCTCCGAACTGCCCACCTGTAAGACATTGCTCCCCGAGCCGAGTGGGGCAATCGGCCCACAGGGCTTCACGCGAACTCGATCAGAATTGGGCACAGACAAACCGGCAGGATCTGCAGGAGGTTGGAAAAATGCTCCTCTCCCCTCTCGATGTCTCCACTCTCCCCACAACCAGCTTTCCTCCCCTTTGACAGTATTAGGGTTTAAAGCGAAATGCCGCGAGTGACGGGGACCAACCGGACGAATATTCCGTGATCAGCCATCATTTCCGGACTCTGCCATTAGGGCTTATAAGAAGCCCTTAAGCAAAAACCATGATCTTCCCCGTTGCTGTTCCCATGCTGCGGTAGCTCTCGTGTGCACCATGGACCCTGCTTTCACTCCGGAGGAATTTCGTGAATGTCCCAGCGATTGTTAGGACGATGCCCAAAAGCTTGGTGGAGATTTGCTCGTACCTGGGTTTGGAAAAAGTCGTCTGTCATCCTGGGTTCGCTGGAGAAACGAGGGCGGGCGGACGTCTCGATGGGTTTCTGCAGACGAGTGAGTGAGTGAGTGAGTGAGTGCGTGCTTTGTCGAAATGTTGGAGGAAGTGGCGGAACGGGGAAGATGTAAATGGTTCCATAATTTCCGTGTCCGAGTACTCGTCACATTATAGCAGCTTCACGGAGGCCATTATCCGGTTCTGTAAGAGGTGTAGCTGGCCTCCCGTCTCGACGTCAGGCGTTCACGGATGCTCATGCTCAGATGGTCTTGGGTCATGTTGGAGTTTCTGAAAGAGCGCGGTGCCCGCGCACCCGGATAAGTATCAGCTCAGAGTTCTCGCGATCGTAACGATGTGTTGCGGTTGCATAAACTATCTGGAGAATTGCTCGTGCTCTGCCGAGACCGACCTGTCGATTGCATCAATCAATCTCGGAGCTGCCTTCTCTCCGATGCAGCTTTCCCATCGATCGATAGACAGGCATTCTCTCTTCTCTAGAGTGTCTGTCGAGCATTGGACTACTGTGAATGGAGGAGTTCAAATTTGAGGATCTTGCGGTGCACAGTCCTCTGTAGCTGAAAGTATCATCAGCCGAGAAGCGAAGAGCTCCATGGTCCAGTCACTCTCCTTTTTTATGGTTTCTCTCGAGCGGGAATTGGGGCATCCATTTCAGCGCACACAACAGGCTATTCTGCGTGACACAATTTGGACCGCTCGGACAACTCTGTCGAGAATAACATCGTCCTCCGGAGCTCAATCAAATTCTTTGCCTGGAATTGTGCGTTTGCGTTCCTGCGAGATCATACTTAGTACGCACAGCGTGATCACGAAATTGAACATATTAAAAGAGGAGTCTCATAACACAGCACATCATTACCGTGACTCAGCCGGCACCATGTCCCTTACGTTCAAGTCAGTACTTCCGACCGCAGATGACATGCTACGCTTCACACGGAGGACGCAATTGACAAACCCAATGCGATTCTTAATTGTTAACGAGAGAACAAACCTTCCATAGCGGCCGGACTGATCAAGGCCTAAACTTTCTGTCCGTAACTGCGAAATCTCCCAACGATGGCTTCGATGCCCATAACTCCTAAACCCTTAAACCCCTGATCATACAAACGTGTAACGATGCAATGCCCATAACTCCTAAACCCTTAAACCCCTGATCATACAAACGTGTAACGATGCAAGAGCAAAGTGGACAGCAGAACAGTTCGAATTACGCTGGCGGATCCCCAGGAGTTGATCTAAAAACTCGATCGAACAAGAGCAAGCCGATTCGGTTTTAAGCGCTATCCAGTCAGCTGATGACAGAGCCGTACGTTCAGACAGGAAATTATGAGAAAGTTACATGTTCCGAAACAGGGGGGGGGGGGGGGGGGGAGGTGGAGGGCGTCATGCCCCATGCCCCGAGGTAGAGTGACAATGGTTCGTGGGAAGGGAGTTAGTAAAGCGGAATTTGTTCTTGTAACAAACTGCAACATGATCCAAAGCAAGCCAATGAGACGCACTTTCGATGATTTGTTGCTGGCGCTGGAGGTCAAAGACGCACCAAGTGGACAATTTGATATGTCAGTCAGCCTTTGAGTGACTTCAGGAATACACTCGGCCTCTGCAGCTTCAAGTCTCTCCGCGACAATCGCCATTCTCGAGTTTCACGTTTGGTTTCACAGAACTAGAGGCGATGGCTACGATGTGTGGTGGCGTCGTCGTCGTCGTCAATTGCTCGCTGATGTCTCCTGTTGGTTGCGCCGGTGTCCGCAGTGGGACCAGCGCTGGTGCCAAATGGTGTTGGGCTTCTTCCTTCCGCGGGTCTTCGAACAATGTACTTCCAGGTTTGTCCGTCTGCAATCCTTCTCAAGCTTCCGAAGAATTTGTTCGGCTTTTAGTTATGGGCTTGCACGGCAGAATATTGTGGCTCCGTCGTTGAAGTAATCTCCAGGAACAAGTGCAATTTAGCGAGCACTGAACTCTGGGACTAGGTTTAAAGGACAAAATCGTAGCATCTGTTTTGAGAATCTGGACGTTTTGTTCATTCATCACACGAGGACTGTTTCATTCTTCGAATTACGCATTTTCTCACGCGGAACGCTCCACACAATCGAACACGCGTTGGGTAGAAATCGGAAGAGTGAACGATGATCCCTTTCGCTCGGAATGGTTCAGGCGCCGAGCTTTTGATTTCCTCCCCCGAGAGGACATCCCTAATTCGATTCTCTGACCATTAATTTCTCCTCACTGCATATGTTCCGCCCACACAGAAATGAGGACAGACAGAAAAGCATCAGCGAGAGCAGCTCCGATCCGAAGCCACCAAGAGACAGCCGAGGTAGCCGTGAGTCGCACTGCGTGCCCAGCCGTGAAGCCAGAAGTCGACGTCTCCACCTTCGAGAGTCTGGACATTCGAGTCGGATTGATCGTAAGTGACTTCAAAATTCATGCTCAAAATTCCCGTCCGTATCAGTCCGCCAGAATTCGGCACTTGTGCGATTACCTCCAATGCCAATCCGAGAGCCATTCCTCGCTCAGAAATTCGCTCACTCCGCGACGGCATGAGGGAATTCATGGCCGAGCGCTCGAGCGCATTAGGGTTGCGAATCGAGCGCTCGTTTGAAATGGAATGGTGCGTGATTTTGAACTGGTGCGTGCGCGCAGACCGATGCCAAGGCCGTTGCGGACCCGGAGATGTCAGCGAAGCGCGGGGTGCCCACCATGAGCCGCAAGCACCTCCAACTCACGGTAAGACTCCTTACCCGCAACTCGGACTCTCAGCTTCCTCGTTCATTATTTGTAATCCCTCATTGACGTGCACGAAGTGGCTGTAGTTTAGTGGTAAGAATTCCACGTTGTGGCCGTGGAGACCTGGGCTCGAATCCCAGCAGCCACACTTTTGATCATTGCGACATTTGTCTGTCGAGAACGTTAGAAATTTTTTGGAAGTCTGACCGGAGCTTCGTTCGATATGTTTCCTGCTTTGAGATCTCGGCATGCTGGTCTACCGATCAAAGAGGTTTGTGGCATTGCGTCCTGCCTTCATGGCTGAGCTGAGCTGAGCTGAATCTGGCGAAATGCACGCACGGTCGAGAATTGTGGGAATTTCACTCACCTTGTCGTTCAATGGTTAGACGGAGGGCAGTGCTCAAAACCACCGCACCCCCTTGCGTCTCTACTGTCGGTTGATTTGTGAGTCTGAAGGAGCAGGACTAGGGAAGTGATGCTCCATCATGAACTTGGACCAGAAGACGTGAAAGCTGAGCTGCTCTCGTCGGATCTCTTCCTTACATGAACTAATCGGGGCATGCCTTTCCTGTCACAGGGGATGCTTATTTACTTAAAAGGGCGTAAGACTAGGTGAAGCAACTCGATCATTTGTAATGAACAAGAAGATCTAAGTGTGATGCTCGAATTCTGCAGGTGGACATCGGATGTGAGGAGAGAATAGTCGTGTCGGAGTGCAAGTATGTGATGGATGTCGAAGACGCTGTGGGCAAAAAAGTGCTCTTCGTCGCCAATGTGCCCCCTTGCGAAGTTTTAGGCATTACCAGTCATGGTATGTTATTTTCCCTACCATGATTATGAGAGCGGACTTTGAGAGTCATACGGTGGTCGAAATAAGATTCATGGCTTGAAATAAGATGCAGCCGCTTTATTCTTGCGCTAGCAGTGGCAGCTGTGCAGTTTCAGGCGTACATTGACTTGATGTAACTGGACGACTGCAGGAATGCTGTTGACGGGCTTCAATTATGATCCCACTCCCATGCCCAGGAGCTTCAAGGTCATTTTGCCAGGCCTCGGTCGGCTTCCACCGGGGTCAGAGGTCAAAGGTGCTGGCATTCCAAAGTAGTGCTCTGTGTCAATTTTTTCCGAGAAGTAGAATTTTCTGTCCAAGCCTTTCGTATCGGATTGGAATACGTACGACATCGTGCGAGCAGGGAAGGCGGCGATTCCCCAACATCCCGATAGACCTATTAGCATGTTGTGAAGCGTCGGCTCCGTGCCAGAGTCGGGGTCGGGTGACGATGAAGAGCCGAGAGGAGTTAGCAATTTTGCATTCTGGCTCGTCGAGACAGACCCCGAAATGCACCTCGTATAGAGAGTTGTGTCTCCTATTGATGTCATGCTGGTGAGTGAGGGTGAGTAAAGGTATCAGGCATGATCGAAGTGAAGGCATAGTACAAAGAGTGGATCTAGTTTTGGAACGATCTGACTTACAGGTCACGACTGATAAAAAGGCATCAGTTCTTTGTAACATCGAGCTGTCTTACCACGGACGCCCTTCCCCATAAATGGATTGGAAACTCTGTGAAACAATTTCAGAGAAATCTGTGCCACCTGATGCCGTTATTCATTGCTCGCTTGTGAAATATGAACCTGCTCCGGTCGAAAAGATTCATCGAAAGTCTTGCAATCCACATTCTTCTCCGTCATTAGCTTCTTCGGCGAGAATTCCTGGAAGTGAAACTCAAGCTGGGAAAAGGCCCAGCTCTTATGTCGCGCGCGGGAACAGCGACTTTCTCCGCAGCCACCGCCCTTGAAACAGAACGTGGCATCGATTCCGCATCGTCTCCCGCTTGGGAAGATGAATCATCGAATTCCTGCGCGAATGACCTACTACATTGCGAGGATGTCGACGCACCTCTGTCTGGATCTGGGCACCTCGACGAAAAGTGTTGGATGTCAAGGCTCCGAGATGGCGATCGAGCAAAGATCACTGGTCATTTCTGCTCTGCGAAGGGAAGAGGACGTCGATGGCGATCGGACAGGTTCCTCCCGCGATCGACTCACAGTCGAGCACGAATTTTGGCCGCATATCCGCATCCTCTCCGTGCAAGTTGGAAGTCGCAATCGGGACCCGTGACGACTCGGAACTGCGAGCGCGGAAAATGTTCGGTCACAATTCAGGGACCGCATTTGGGCTGCGGGCTGAAGCCCGCAGGAGCTGTCGAAAAGCACGTCCTGTCGAAGCGTAGAGCCTACGGCGAATTCCGAGAAGACGACAATGTTTCGCTTGAGCTATGCATGGCGGTGGTTACGAGAATCAGGTCGAATGTTTGATGTTACCATTTCCAAGCGAATGACGATGGAGAACAATACAGTTACGTTTACGAGTTTCCCTTGAAAACAGCCTCGCGAAAAGAAGCGAAAAGAAGAGAAGGTGTGGATCTGGAGAAATAACATTCGTTGAATCTTCTGAAGCGGTGGAGATTTTGATGCCTCCGACTCTCTTGGATAAAGACCAAGTACAACAAGGTCGATATCTACAATGGATTTATCTCGTATGACATTAGGTGGTATAGATTCGTCAGGATAGAGTTTGATCGAGTTTCTTATACTTTCAAGAAAAAAGTCTTCCGATTAAGAAAAGCTCACAGCAGATCGTGGAAGAGATTGATGTCTTGTTGCTCTCTACCTCTGAGCCATGTTTGCCCAGTTCAACTCTTGGTCGTGAGTGAGTTATAAGTTCACATCATTTCCTGGACATGCAGGGTTTGACAGGCATGGCTGAAAACCACCTGATCACCCGCCACATTTTGACTTGAGCATTCTTGATTTCAAGTGGTCATCCAAATGTGTCCAGCAAGAATTCTCAGGGTTCTCAAAATTGCTTTTCAAAGTTTGACAGTCAACTCCTTCACAGAACGTGTTGAGTATCAACTTTGCTATGGATTGCATGCAGATTTGTGGACAAATGAAACATGGATTTGGTACTTTTAGAATTTACCATCAACTTGTGACCATCCCCAACAACTCTAGAAATTCCTCCCCCAACTCAACAACAGTGGTTACTCGACGAAAATTGCCTGCACTAGTTCTCATTATCTTCTGATGAGTCAACATCATAGAAAGCATGCTCATCTGGTTTATTGTACTCAACATATTGATCAAAATCTACGCTGTCACCATCATCTCTGTTTCCATCACACTCAAGGTCATTCACATCTTGGAATAATGATGGCAACTTGAAGTTTTGAGTCTTATGATGATACAATTTCTGTAGCTGTAAATAATTAAAATTCTCTCAAAACTTGGCCAAAGTATTGCTCCGAATGAGGTCATCAATTGTTTTGATACGCGGCCTATTCTTAAGCTTGGTCTTGACACTATTGTGCAAAGAAAAACCTCGTTTAGCAATGGCATTGTTGAGTGGTATGACAAAACAGAGATACACAAATTTAAGCATGTAGCCTAGCCTCAGTTCATGCTCATCATGAATGTACCTCCAGACAAGAAGTAACTCTGCATGCAAGTCTTTGGCCGCTAACCATAGCAGGTGCTTCATCCTCGAAACTCTTTGTTGACTAGAGACAATACGGACGGATCAATTGGGAACAATTGCTCTCTCTTTTTCCTGTTGGAAAAACAACTCAACAAAATTTTATAATTTGACACATTAAATTTATAAAGCTCCGACTACTTTAGAGCTCTATAAAATGTTGGATCAAAGATTTTGAAGACACTAAGCACAATTGCCTTTGAAAAGCGTTCCAAAATGTTTGACTCAATTTCCCCCACTAGCATCTTGATGAACACATGAACATGTTCCACACTGAAACCAGAATGACCTATCAAAAGAATCCTACAGCTCTTTGCCAAATTAGATCCTTGGTGGCCCCGTTCTCTTGAACAGATTTTAAGAATTGTTTCAATTTGTCACCACCAACCCGATCTTCAGAGCCACAAATATCCTTGATAGCATACAAACACACCTCAAGCTGGTCAGGAATTTTGTGAGTCAAGTTGTTGTCTTGCTCAAAATACTTTCCAAATTACTCTAAAGTTTCAATACATCAGCAACACTATGCAATAGGCAAATGAAAGTGACATCAGTGAAGTACTTATGTAAGTCTGCAACTTTCTCTCAACACTTCTTGCGTGACTTACTCTTCATGAACAAAATCAGCGTTGCTAAATTCTCTTGTAATGCATCCACGCACTGATCTCTGGAAAATCACCAAGTGGCATTAAATAAGGCAAATTGTTGTTTGGTCACACCCTGACTCCTGGCAAAATGTGTTCATTGCGTTTGACGAGATCTTGATTTGCTAAAAAGATTATGCACCGCCTTCAGGACAGCGTCCAACTCTTGAAGAGCTTCCTTGTCATTTACTTCAATATATACTAAAAATAGCAGTTGGCCTAGGGTTTCTATTCCCGTAACATTTAAGGTCGATGACGACTCAAAAAACGACAGTTCTTCGAGTCGAGCTTGTTAGCGGTGGAAGTTGTGCGATTGTCCGTAAGCATCGACTAAGAGTCTCTTTGGAGTGGGTTGGGTTCGACTTATGTTTGTGACAGTTTTACTGCCAGTGGTGTACTTAAGATTTTTTATTTTTTGAGTTTTTATTTGAGTGGGTGCGCTCTCGTGGCCTATGTGTGTATGTGAGTAGCATGTCATCAATGTAAAATGTATGGCGATATATATTTACACGACATCTATGAATAACTGCATTGTCATCTAAAAAGTCTTGTACATCAATATAGATTATATTTTGGCCATAATTTATGCATTGAATAAAAACCTCTATTAAACCAATGTTGCATTCATATTGATTCATTCTAGCAATCTTTGAGTGTGAATAACTCAAAATCTATTGAGCAATTCAAATCAAATCTCTATTGTCATTGGTTTGACTTTTAAATAGTTTAAATTCATAAAAAAATTCTTTTTCATAAAGAAAGTGTACTGAGTAGATTTCAAAGGCTATAAAAATGATAGACCAGTTTGTGTGAAGATAGTTTAATTCTAAAGGTTAATTTTTTCAAGAATCTTAATTTCACAACTAATTATAAATTTTATTGAACTATATTAAATTTTAATTTAAATATAGTTTAAGCTTTCATATATTTCAAACAATTTGCCAACAACTGGTATATAATATTACATATATCAATGTCAATACAAGTTTTGAATCATCATATGTTACACTAATATTTGTGATTATGCAAATTTAGTTTTCAAATGTATGAGAGTATATATATATATATACACACACACATCAAATACTTGTAGCAAAGTACAACATTTTACTTCAGATCTGTTACCAGACTAGAACATGACTATCAATAGCATTAACTGAGCCACTCCATGCTAACCAAATTGCGCCCGTATATTCACAAATCTTGTAAAATGAATTACTTGTTGACACCAAGACTTGATTGAATCTGAGAAACCTTGCCAATAACATTAACTTTGACCATCCATGGATAAATAATGTCATCCAAAATCCATGGACATGGGTGGATTTGAGCATGGACATCCAATGTTGCTACAAATTTTCTAGCAAAAATTAGAATATGTTATAATAAAATATGTAACAATCATTTTAATTTTAAAATACTGATTGTGCACATCAAATTTCATCAATCATTGAAATTTATTTTAATAGAGCAAAATTTTAAATCTAATTTAATTGCACATATTGATTTATAGTATATGTAATTTATTTTAGATTTCATATTTCTATCACGTGTTAGTTTTTAGATTATGTGGAATTGATTAAAAAAATAATTTATTGGTATAAAATTTTTATACAATAAAAACATTCACAACAAAAACGATCAAAATTTAAACATGATGATTCATGAAAGGATATTGTACAACAAAGAGGTAATATATATATATATAGAAATATCAATCTGTAAAAAACTTTGAATAGATGACTTGCTTTTCGTTGAATCCAAAAAGATGCATGAAAGATATAATGCAATTATGGTAAAATTTAAAAAATCCCCAAATCTATGGATAATTTTGCAGATGTAACATAGTATTTGAATGTTATGTACATTTATCTGGATAGAAGACTAATGTTAGAAATTCGCTTATTACGGGGAAAATAAAAAGAAAGTTAGGATCAACTATTTATTTTCTGTGAAGCATATATCATCCGAAAGAAAATATTAGTCAAATTCTATCAAGCAGAGGGAAGAAGGGATTTGCAGATGAGCTTATGACGAGAAGGGGACAGAAGCGAATGTTTCAAATGGTCGAATATTCGAAGAGATGCGAAAAAGGAGAGCCGACGAGACGGACGAGCGGATCCATCCGGTTTCGGATATTGCCAGTAGATCGGATGACGTGGCGCGAGCGTTGTGGCTCCCCTTGCCGAATCCAATTCCAGCTCATCTCTCGCTCGCTCGCTCGCTCGTTGCTCCGATCAGCTCCTCGTTCGGCCTGCACTTCACTTCTCGCTCGAGCAGTCGGTGATCGAATCGTCGAGGCGTCCATTGTTTCGACCTCGAAGGCACGCACGCACGCGCGGTTGGTCTCCGAGAAGGTGTTCCTTTGGTAGCTCGGCTCGTCGATGCCAGTCATGGCGACAATTTCAGCTGCCGTCGTCGCTGGATTGTCCGGAGCCGTCGTGTCATCTTTCTCTGCGGAGCTCAAGAATCCGGCTCTTCGGAGCAGTAACGGTGCGTTCTCTTTCCGGGAATCGCTTACAAATTATGGAACTGAATGAGTGTACAAGTCTAGGAGGGCATTGGAGAATGAGGTATATGATGATGATGGTGACGAGGAGGAGGAGGAGGAGGACTGTAATGCGTGATGCTCTAGTTTTTGGGGCACCGGATGATGAACTGCGGCTATGAGCTCCGGGGTTGAGGGTGGCTCATGACGATGACAAGGACGATGTCCTCTGGGGCCTTTTGTCACCGGGGAGGGTCAATGGCAGGCCGGAATGTGGCGTGAAGCATTGTGGATGGAATTTCGAGGATGGATGTTTTCCAATTCGAGGTGGTCTCGAGGGGTGCAGGCCGCCAGAGAAGTAGATGCAACTGAGTAGTTGTGGAAGCTGTCTTGGAAGGCTGAATTCTTGAAGAGGGTTAGTAACGGAACGACGGTTTGTGCAGGGAGGGCACGAGTTTGTGCTGTTCGCGCCGGCAAAATCTCAGGGGCAGCAGGCGTCCGGAGAAGGCCGACGCAGGCTCAGCAGCAGCAGCAGCTGAGCTGGAAGAAGAATGCGGCCAAGTCATTGGGTCTCGTTTGTGCCACCTCCGTGGAGGTCGTCACAAACAGGTACCACCAACATTGCCTGAAGCAAAGCTGTCGATGGATCACGAGCAGTGAATGACTGAGAGAAGTCAAGCCTTACAATTGGTGGCATTATCTCTCGCAGGTCTATCAGATGTGCTACCACAGAGGAAATTGATGCCGAGAAAGAGCTCATTGAAGAGGATGCTGTAAGTGGGTGTCGGGGAAAATTGGCTGAGAATTTGATATTTCTGATTGTTGGAGACATTACTTTTTCCTGTCATCTTCCAGTTTTTTGTGCAGTACTCAAGGAGCAACTTTTAGAACCAGTGCCGTCGCTGCTTTATTCTACGGAATTCTGTGTGAAGCATTTGAGGGTTTGGTATCACTCTACTCTGTAACAAACACGTGCAGATGGAGAGAATGGAGAAAACCTTAGAAACGGTCAGAGGAAATTTCAACTCTGTGAGGACAGGAAGAGCGAGTCCGAATCTACTGGACCGTGTGGAGGTATGGAAATTAGGGTCTCTGCCACTACATATGCCACTATTCACTTTCAATGTCTCAATAGTCTTAACTTTCTTCTTACTTCATTATATTCTATCTTGCCTGAAGCCGAGGCTTCCAAATATATTCTCTTCCTTAAGCACCTAGGTTGCAATTGTTGCCACCACAGTTGTCTATGTCTATGTATGCCCCACAGAATATATGATTGTTGCTGGATCATTCATCACCGTCTCCTGAAGTTTTTAAGAACGAACCATTTGTCGTTTGATAGTTTTCAGTAACTCCTGGTTCCAAAAGGGCCGAGAGTTCTGTGCTCAGAACGGGCTATGCTGTACGCAAGTGTTGGTTGCAGTTTCCTCGTATCCTAGATGAATGCCTTCCTGTCAGCTGTACTCGTTGCCCTTTGCTGGATCTCCTGATTTCAGAACTACGTGGACTTCCCGCTCGTAGGTTGAGTACTACGGCACCAACGTGATTCTCAAAAGCATTGCTCAAGTGTCCACACCAGATGGAAGCACGATTCTCATTCAGCCTTTTGACAAATCCAGGTACCGCTTCTCATCATAGTCCCTTCATGTTCTTGACCTGTGTTTCTTGCTCTCTAACGATCTCAGAAACGGTGTGGAGAATTTACTGGCGAGATTGATTGTGATTTCCACTGCGATGACATCTTGGTACAGTAGCTCCTTCTGTAACTCAGCTTGGGTACAATTTGTTCACCGGATTTCAAAATCATCTGGAAAGTTATTGCTGGAAGTTCCCACTGGCTTAAAAGATGTCGTATAATGTGCAGTCTGGGTGCCATTGAAAAAGCTATCATCAAATCCGATGTGGGTTTGAACCCGAATAATGATGGAAATGTTATCCGGTTGAACGTTCCCCAGCTGACATCCGACAGGAGGAAGGTACTGCAAGGTTCAGTCAGCGGGTTTGCTTTTGACAAATTTCGCCTCTCGTTAACCTTTTTAGCTAACTTGGACATCATAAATGTTGTTGCGTCTCCCTCTTGTGATTGCAATTGTACACGCCACTCCTTTTTCGAGTTCATCGCCTCACACTCGAGAGCTGGTAACGCTACCCAGGTTACTGATTGTAAGGGACGTCGATTTGGTGCAGGATCTTTTGAAGTTGGTATCCAAGCTTAGCGAAGATGGAAAGGTTTGTCAATGTTGCCCTTACATGTGACTTCAAGGTTTCGGTTGCCTCAAGGCGGGATTCAAACACTCATATCACAAAACCTCGAACTAATTGTCTAAGTACGTGCGCAGGTTGCTCTGCGGAACGTACGAAGAGACTCTATCAAGGCATATGAGAAACTTGAGAAGGTACTTTACCGCTGCGTCATGTGTGACTGCCATCTTTTCGGATATGAGATGTTATGTTGGAACTTCCTGATCCTGGCAACAGGAAGAAGCTAGAGGGCTGGATGTTGTGTCTCCTCGCTGAGCCCACTGGCCACCTGAAAATCTCTTCCCGTTCTGTTGCAGGAGAAGAAACTTTCTTCCGACAATGTGAAGGATTTGAGCGACGACATTCAGGTAGTCACACTTACCTCTTCCACATTTTGCCGCCACCCAACTGCTTGGCAAGTTCCTCGCGATGCTGACTACCCACTCCATCATTCACATGCGTGTGCCGTGCAGAAAATGACCGATGACTATGTCAAGAAAATCGACGTCTTGTTGAAGGAGAAGGAGAAGGTGAGTCCGTCTTCATTTCCGATGAATCACGGAAACCCTCTCCAAGAATGGCCACCATCACTACAAATCTAATCACTTTTGTAAGCCTTTGGTTAGACACGAATGCGCCAGCACTCTAAGAAGTTCTCGGCCGTTTCGCAGGAATTGACGACGGTGTAAATAATCGGATCGATGGGAGGTGACGAACCGTGCAGCCGTGTTTCGGTCGGAGTTCGAATCGTTCTAGAAGTTCGCATTTTTGACGGCAGCGTTTAGAAGTCTTTACTGTAAAGCTAGTCAGTCACACATGTAAATCTACTTTCCCCGAACAGCATACAAGAAAATGTGGCCGCCAATCCAAGGGCGGCAAATCCAAAAATTCTCAAGATCACTCACTGTCCAGCGTCAATTGTGCATGACATACGTCTCTTCGCTTTGTTCATCCTCGTCGAGAGTCGGTCATCATCATCAGTCCCACGAGTCCAAGAGCAACATCATCCACGCGTATGATCCTTCGATTTCGAACAAGAGCAACCCGGGCGCGCGTAACGGGTCGATCGACCCCGCGAAAAGATTCATTCTTCCAGCCCAGAACGAACGTCACCACAACCCCCCATCCGTGCATCGTCGAACGACGAACGTCCTTCAACGGACAGCGTCGCCTTGGACGACCCTAGAACAGACTGCGGGGTCCCAATGCTTCCGAACTGCGGATAGGAACGTTTCTAATGCCCAGCCACGCGAGCCACTCCCGAAGGAAGGCAGGCAGGCGGGGGCCACATGGCACGCCGCGGTTGCAGGCCGAGCGGATGACATGACACAATGATTCCACGGTCCGCGACGGGGGGACGAAGACGACGTTTAACTCTCGCAGGTAAAGTTGGGTGCTGTCGGATGGAGGTCGAAGGAATTGCGAGTGGGCCAGCGAGCCACGAGCCACGAGCCGCGGCGGAAGAAGGAAGCAGGAGGACGACGCGAGGCCATACGATCCAGGGAGGGAGGGAGGGAGGGGGAGTTTTACTGCGCGGGAGAAAGAGAAGCAAAATAGAGCGACGACGGGGGGTTTCACCCTTGGCTACTTTATCCGCAAGCGAATGTCCGTGCCGGATCCGCTGCACATTCGGATTGGATTTGGTTGCCGCTGCGGGCTCGTGCGCACAAAGCGGTCTCGGGTGCTCGGGTGCACTTGGCGAGGCGAGGCGAGGCAAGGGCGACGAGGTGAATTCGTCGAGGGCTGCAGCGAGAGGATCGATTTCCGCGACAGGCCATGGCTGCGGTTGTGGGCTTGGGGTGGGGCGTGTGCGCGACGGGGGCCTTGAGAGTTGCCGAAGCGTCCTCGCGGGTTCAGTCTGAGAAGGCGGGCGTAATTGTGAGGGCCGCAACTCCGCAGCAGCAGCAGAGGTTGCGTTCCAGCAATGGAGGCTTGGTGCCGAAGAGTCGGATTCAGCGGCTTATCTGTAAGTCGGTGGATGTCGATGACAGCGCAACTGAGGCCGAGGAGCCATCGGTAAAATCTGCTGAGGCTGAGGCCGATTCCGTCGATCAACTCCCCAATCCCCGACGAGGTATGCAGCTGCTTGCGGACCGCAGTTTTTCTTGTCATTGATCGTCGATGATCAAGGTTCCAGAACTTCTCTGACGCTCCACTTTCGAGCTCTGCCTCATCCAGAGGCGGTCACGAGCTTGTTTTTCTTACTGAATTTTGTCGCCAATTGTGATGTTTACGAATTATGGCCATGTCCAAGGACTTCTGCATGACCGTTGAGTGAATTTCCTTCAGCTTTGGAGCTATGAGCGCATTGGCTCGATCATCAGCTTCTTCTCTTTTTGCCTGCAGGGGTCGCGCTGAATAGTTTTGCTCAACTGGGAAAGTGCACAGGCTATCATATGCGTTTATGTTTTTGTTTGGCATTTGTTCACAATGCTGGCATTGTCAAGGAGCTCCAGATTGCTACTGCAGTCTGGAGTTTCCTCGTCTCCTTGCCTAATGATGTAACACAATCTGCTCGCAGGTTTGGAAGAGAGGTTTGCCGTGATCAACACCGGGAAATTCGAGTGCCGATCGTGTGGATATGTGTATGACGCAGCGAAGGGAGATACGAACTATCCCATAGCTGCAGGCATAGAATTCGGAGGCTTGCCAGAGGACTGGAGGTGTCCGACTTGTGGTGCTGCCAAAACTTACTTTCAGAGTAAGAGTGTAGAGATTGCGGGATTTGCTCAAAATCAACAGTTCGGCCTGGGTGGAAACTCCTTGACCGAAGGGCAGAAAAGTCTTCTAATTTACGGTACCTTTGCTTTCTTCTTTACACTTTTCCTTGCAGGCTATCTGCTCCAATAGTAGTCGAAATTGTACATTCATTTGCTCTGTGTGATTAAAGAAATCCTATTCAAGTGATTCTCACCTGGTCTTGAGCGTTTCTTGTCCCAATGTGCTTATCTTCTCTGTGGATGTTGATGGTGTTGTTCATTTTGGCGGATATATTTGGAATCCATATTTGGATATATCAGAATCATTTTCGGAAGGACAGATAAGATGTAATAAAGAATAACGTTTGCCACAACAACCAAATACAAAATATATGCAGTGCAGAAAATCAGCTTGTGAAACAAAGCAACACAAATCTGTTGCTGTTCAATGAAAAATTTGACTATGTGGAAGGAACTGTCAAATATGTATGTAAAGTGAAACCTACCACAAAACTGGCTGTTGACAGTACACTTTACTGCAAATTACGATAATTGTATCGTAACTACTTACAATTACTATCTCAAAGTGCAAACTCTTCCTGCTGATCCAAGACTGAGGAAGACAATATCCAACTGACTACGCCCATCATCACTCACAACATTGTACGTGGCTGTTTGTGCTATATTGTGGAATCAAAATTACTGATTAAATCACCTTTTTCGTCCAGTTGGGAATAACGCATGTACATCAAAATTATAAACTCACAAATGTGAAAATCGGTCATCTGCACGTTGACGAACCAGTTCGCCTCCGGTTACAGCATCCTAGGTGTCGAATATGTACACTTCATGGTAGATTTACGAACACTGTCACAATCTAGGAGCACCCTCATTTCCGACGGGCTATCTACAACTCCGCAGCTTCGTCTAGATCAGACTTTCTGACTACTTGGGATAGAATTCCTCCTGATGTACGTGAAAGTAAAAGACGGGCCACATTTTTCGCAGCAACTGCGCTGGCTTCCATCGCGCTGGCAGCACTTTCGAAAGTGTTCACATAATATAGATGATGACCATCAAGTAGTATGGGAGCAAATTGTTCCGGTGCTTCATAGTGAGGATATGCTGCCCAGTCTATGATCCTTGTGAAGGTTCTTTTGCTGTTACAACGTCATACGAACCAATTGAGTCAGAATTGGTGCGCTACGAGTATTTAATAAATTGGTATATTCTTTGGACTGAAGTGTGCTGAGATGCATATGTCTTTTCTCTAACAATGGCATCCAGGAAACCCTCAAAAGGCTAACGTGTTTAGCTTTCTCCACCTTCACTTCACCTTCACTTCAAAGAGCGCACCCTCAAATTTGTCATCCGTCACGCTCTACGATAACACTTGGTGCTAGTTCTCGACGTGCAGAAAAAAATCCTTCAACTCAACTTGAGTAAATTTCATTTCCACCAGATATCAGTATAATCCTCTGAATAGACTGAATACAAGTAAATCTCTTACCTGAAAATTTGGTCCAGTAGTACAGTTGATGGAGTAAGTCGAGAAAACATCTTGTACACATTATCCTCTGCAGAGTATGACTTTAGAATGGAGACGGACGAAAATGGCAAAGCTGGGTCTTCAATGGTGCCGATCAGAACTGGTAAATCGAGAGCTGTCTTTGCACCAAAGTATATCTGATACAAGAGCATCCAATGCAAGTGTTAAGATTGTCATTTGCTTAGGCAATTTCCGTGCAGTTCAAACACTGATAAAATGCAAATCAACAGGACCTTAGATTTTTGGTCTGAATGGTGAGGAGGGTGGAAAGCAAAAGACGACTACGATGAGCAGAAAAAGCTAGGTCTTAAAAAAACAAAGACCACATGTACCTTTTGAGATTGAAACTGATATCCTAAGGCAAATACGACTACTATTTTATTTACCAAAAAGCTTTTCTGTGGATGTGGAACAAAAGAGGTTTATGAAGAATGGGAATGAGGAATTTCAGAACTCGTCGCTAGGTGATTGCAGCTTAGAGGCATCTGATGGTTACATTTGTGAAAGCTGCCACTAAGAGATGTTCAAGAAATGGTCTGTCACAAAAAGATCATAATCTTCAGAAAATGGGCTCCTTACTTCATAAGCAGTTAATGAAACAGGGAAGGATGGAGGGGGGATGAACTCAGCCTACCGGGTTGATGAGGCCTCGCACGAAAGTAGTAATTGTGTGTTGCATGCTTCGAGCCGGCAATTTGAGCTTGGGAGTAAAGCTGATAGAAACCTCATCAAGGGGTGTGGCTATGACCACTGCATCACAGTCCTTACGCTCGTTGGATGCAAGCCCGAGCTTGTACGTCCCCTCAACATATTCTACGGACACAACTTCCTGATTGAGATAAAGCGAGGCGTTCGATATCTTGATTAAACCTGCAGGAACCTGAAAATTGCCCCCCTCCACTGCCCATAGGTCATCCCCAGAGCCTGCGAGAGAGACGGAACCTGCAAGGCCACTGATACTCACATTCTGCCCATAGTTGATCCGCATGATGACCTGAAATGAGGTACAGAGGAAGACTTAACCTCTAATCTACAATCCTGCCAGTAGGCGTTTACAGATGGGCTGCGATACGCAACATACTAAGAAGGTGCTAAAGTTGTTCATCACAGAGTCAAACAACAAACAGAAAAGTCCAGTAAAGTAATGCGCTTTTCGTCGACTGAGTTTCTCTTACCGTGATGAGCTCATCAATCAATAGTCGTGACAACCCCTTGGCAACTAGGTCTTCCTCCAGCGTATGTTGAGTGGGTTCATATAGTCCAATGAACTTCAACATAGACTCAGCGGTTTCAAAAACCGGGATATCTTCGTCATACAGCTTCATCCAATTTTCCATCATTCCCTGCAACAAGACAAGGCTCGAACTTCGCATCACTACCGATGCCAGGGTTACAAGCGCGCGCATATTTCTGCTCACACTTCACACATGTGCAAGTGCAACGAATATATGTGTGCTTCAGTATGATACTGAAATCAAAATCCTCCTGAGCGGAGAACACAGCCACAGGGCTGTGTTGTCCTCTCAAAAGGATGTTGATTTCGAGCTGAAGTAATGTCCAAGTCCCTTTTGAATCCCATTTCACAGCGCAGAAGTCTCTCACCTTCGAACTACCAAACAGCGAACTAGCACGAGTTCGAATGCTACGCAAAGACACTTACAGATCTCCCCAATTGGACTATTATTTTGAACATTTACAACAAAAATGTAATAAATATGTGTTCTTTCCCTGCAGCTTCATCCTCTACCCCATGCAGATAAGTACGTAATCTAGCATACATTCGTGTAAGGGTACGGGACTGCAAAGCCCTTCTCCTCCTATTCACAAGATGTTCAACTCTACCAATTCAGCTCCCTAATGGCCAAGAAAACGTATTTCGTACAACACACTTTGTGCAGCTTGGTTCTGGTTAAGCAGAACGTGTCAGGTTTGTCAAGCGACAGAGCATTCTAATTTAAGCTTGGCTCGCACTGGAAACGAATATTATCTTCTGCAACCTATAATGGAGTTGATTGTGAGTGATGACTTTGATTTAAAGTTGATACCTCACGTTCTTAAGATGTAATGTGACACACTGATTGAGGATCCACCTATACAAGGCTACCGCTGTTGTGACATTTGTTTTGATAAATCATCAAGCTGGAAATTTCCACGTTCTCGTTATTTTAGTGTAACCAGAGCATTCGAGATAACCTCGACACTCAAACCGACAAGATACAGAGAGAGGAACTTACAGAAACGTGCGATTGCATCGTCATGAGGCTCGTGCCATACCGCCAGAGCAGCAGTAGCGTATTCCAGAGGCTTGTCACCATCTTCGTAACATACGAATCCCCGGAACGAACCGTTTGGAAAATGAAGCCGCGACCATTCCAGATTCCCAGACTACTATCATCATCTGAAGTATCGACCTTCTTGAGTCCAAGCAGCTCAACAAAGTTTTGCATGTGCATATTTTTCTCCGCGATTATACTTCCTCCAGCTTCGAAGTAGTCGTCTCCGATCTGAATCCGATCCAAGCGCCCACCGACTCTGTTCCTCTTCTCATAAATCTCGACGTCGATCGGTTTCACCGAGTGATTCTGGAGGAAATACGACACCGCCGAGCCTCCGATCCCACTACCAACGATGCACACCTTCTCAGCTCCAGCGAGCGCGAGCAGGGCTGCCAAAGTGGCCACAATCGCCACACCTCTCATGGTCTCGAAGATCGCCGTCCTCTCCGACGACTACGAGATGTCGAATCAGTCCTCCGCGACACAAAAACGCGGCGGTCGAATGTCTCCCGACTACACGAGCTCAATCAATCACCTCCGGACTCGCTCGAAGAACCCTAAGTCGCAAGACGAGGAAAGCAGTCAAACTACGGTCTCGCCTTCGATAACATCCGGCGAGATACCCTCAGATTCCCATGCCCGAGATAAGCAAAATTAGCAGGAGCGGCGAGAATTACCGGAATCACGAGACACGGCCTTGAGCGAGCGAGCTTGTGCGCGCGACCATTTCAGAGGATGCGGATTACCGGAAGCAAGCACGGCACAGGGCGCGCGAGCGATGGAGAAGGAGAATCAGAAGCAGAAGCTGATGGTGCTGATGAAGGGGCATCCGGGATGCGCGAAATCGACTGTGGCCAGGGCTCTGGCTGCGGCGCTGCGATGGCCCGTGGTGGACAAGGACGACATTCGCGACGCCACCTTGGCGCTCGAGGCGCCCGATAGGCCCGCGCCCCCGGCGCCCACCGCCCTCAACGCGCTGTCGTACGAGGTCATGTGGCGAGTGGTCGAGACGCAGTTGCAGATCGGCCTCAGCGTCGTGGTCGACTGCCCGCTGGCGCGAGCCTCGCTCTTCCGGACCGCCTGCGCCCTCGCGCTCAAGCACGGCGCCGCGCCCGTCGTCGTCGAGTGCGTGGCGCTGGACGTGCACGAGTGGAGGCGCCGGCTCGAGGCCCGAGCTCAGCTCGCTCTCGCCGTGCCGAAATGTGATGCGGATTGCGCTAGCTCGGCGGAAGGGAATCGTCCCGGGAACGATGATGATGGTACGAGAGCTCTCAAGAATTGGCACAAGCCTTCGCGCTGGGACGACGTTCAGAAGTTGCTGGAGGGGTATGCCAAGTGCTACGAGTACGATACAGGGCTCACGAGGAAGCTGATTGTCGATACGACGGCTTTGCCGACCGCAGCTGCAGTATGCGGCATAGAGAATTGGCTTCGAAGCGTCGAGGAGCCGGGCACCGCGATTGTCACGTGCTTGCCTTGACGTCTCGGAGGCAGTGAATCCGGTGGGTCGGGAGAAGGTCTAGTGGACGAAGTCGATTGCTGGCAGTGTCTTGTGCAGTAATTTCATGCCTACTTCGCTAGTTTCTTTCTAGGGATCAACGTAGACCGAGGATTGTAACATACAGCATGAACAGGAGTGATGAAAGCAAATCGCTCGGCTCAATTCATTCGTCTCGATTGAAATCGATTTGATTGGATGTACTTAGAAGAGCGATGACGATTTCAGTGGTTTGTGACTTCGATTCGAGAGTCACGATGTTCGGGAGAGGTGAAGGTGAAACATTTGGGCTGCTTTCAGGCATTTCCTGGGGAGATTGCCGAGTGGGTCATGCATTGCCTCGCTTTTAAGGGCCTCGGATGGGATTATGATTGGCATGGATATCGAACACGTACGGTAACATAATTGCCAAAGAGACAGACGTCTGAGTCGACGTTCTCACACATTTGCAAATCCGCCGCCCCCTTCCGAGGTCGAGTCATGCGTGACGTGCTGCTTGGATCAACTGCAGCTTCTTGCCGCAAGCATCTATCGACCGATCTAGGACGGGCGAGTAGAAGAGCAGTGCAATCACGACAAAATCTCAGAGCCATCCGCGGCGGCAGAGGGCCAGGCCGCACCCGGGGGACATGGATGAACGAAAGTGCCGCTGAAGGCGATGATGGGCGCGAATTTATGCGAGCGCATTGTGATACGCTGACCGACAGGCAGATCTCTGAGCCGCCCAATAATCAGCCCCGCACTGCATCCGCAGTGCGGGGCTGATTTAGGGTATGCCATAATCTTCCTTCGACCGACGATGCGCTCCCGCACCTCGTGCCGTAACGAAAAGAACGAAAGCAGTAAGACCATGAGGCTTTCTGCTTCAGACTTTGCGAAACGTCCTTGAACTTTATCCGGAGCCCAGCCTTTATCACGAACTTCCACTGAGCCCAAGCTCTTACCGACCCGACCCGACCCGATTCGACCGCGGGCCCACCACGTCTGCGACGTTCGGTGGTTCGCGGGAGTCCGGAGCAGGTGCCTGATCCCGTGCCACCACTCCGTCGAAGACTTTGGAATCCGCGCTGCGCTGTCCGCTTACTGTACAGTACAACATTGACTGCGATGGATGTGGTTCGAGCTCGCTCGACGTCGTCAATGGCCGTGCAGTGCAGGACACTCATGCCACGCCGAGCTGGACGATATTCGCGCGGTCAGATACGGGCCTAGCCTCTGGACTCGAAACTTGGCCTGCCTGCCTGCCGGCCGGCCGGATCTCTAGCGAGGGGAGTTGCGTCGAGCAAGACGACACGGGTCTCTCTTGCGCCAGTCGTGTCCGGGCCGGCCACCGCAACGGACGCTCGTGGCGCTTGCGTAGAGGACGGGGCTCGCTCTCATGGCGACACTCGCTGCGGGTCAACTCTGAGGGGCTGAGCATGGAGTTGCGCACAGAGAGTATGGCGCACAGTGCGAATCCTCGGAACACGGAGGCGGTGCGCGAGAGTGATGGATGGGCCGTCCTGGAGGAGAGTACGGCGCGGAGAGCTGGAGATGTTCATGTTCAGGAGGGAAGTCACGGATTTGTCGACATGAAGAGAGCATGGGGTTCGGGGGGTGATGGAGCGGGAAATCGTCAGGGCTCGGACGTAATGTGCACACAGGCAGAGGCCCGGTCGATATGATCGCGCTCCTGTTCACAAGCATCTCGCCCCGCCAACAGTGTCGTGAGGGTGTCCGCAGCAGCACGTATCGCGTAATGGCTGCACTCACACTCATTCCGCGCTCGTAATTTCGTGACCGAGTGCGTGATGGAAACAATTGTGGCGTGTTCGCGGCGTCGCTGGCCGTGGAAAGCTGACCGAAGGTGTCCGGAGAGATCTGGTAGATCATTCCCGGCGCTTCCAGGCACGATTCCAACACACGTTCGTCGATCGCCGCGATATCTGTCACAACAGAGCGCGATCTTCCGCCCTCGGTTGTTGTTGTTCGTGCCGGTGCGGTTGATGAATCGGGCACGCAGCGCTGCGGGCGGTCGATGGCGGATAGGGTTCACGCGTCGTCGTCGCACAAGTGGGACGTGATTCCGACACCGAAGCTAACATCTGACATTGACCGGCTCGGTACGGCACCTACCCCGTGGGCTGAAACCTTTGACCATCTCCAGGCTCCAGCTCTGAACCCAATCCTCTCAGAGTCATCACCGTGGAGATGGCGAGATGATGATGATGACGATGATGATGAAGAAGGGGAATATCGCGCCACTTGATTGACCTCCATCTCATGAGCTCGCAGGCACCGTTCTGACTCCACTCAGCGACACCGCCGTACGATCCGTCCGGGCTCCAGTGTCGAATGTGAGAGCTCATCCGGTCGATGGCAGATCGCGGTACGGTGCTAATCCCGTGAAAACATCGGATTGACTGTTCCCGCTTGTCTCGCCACAACGTCTCCACCGGCTTCCGCGGACGAGTTCATTCGCCCTCTGCCTGTGACTTCCCGGATCCATGGTGCCCACAGCCTTTCATCTCGAGAACTGTAGTTGCACGAGGGATCGACCGTTTGTGAAGGAAGACGGCATTGCATGAGCACTGCTTTTGCTGAGTGCCATCATCAAGAGCCTCAGTGTGCGCAGTCGGAACCGGTTGACCGCATTCTCGCTGTGAAGAGCATGCAATGCGGAGGTTTGTGTCGTAGATGATTTTTCCGTGAGGATTAACACCGTTCATCGACGCCTTGAATGGGGCTCGATGAAAGAGTGATTTAGAGTCGAGGTCTCATCGCACCTGCTTCCCGCAGGAACTGGACTTCTACAAATGATCGCGGATGTGCAACTGCACGGGTAGGTTTCCGACACATGGGCACAATCGTGGCCGTGCTGCAATTATTCGACTAACATTGCGGCAGCAGCACTGGACGACTGAACAGCCCGATTCGTACGAAAAGATAATCTGCCCGAAACGAGGAGCGTCTTCAATCCTTCAACTTCTAAAGAACTGTCCCAACCACAATCAATTGCGTGTATTAACTCCAAATCCAAGAGACGCAATCTTGTTTCATCAGCCCGACAAGTGCCCTGACCGATCACGCTCAAATCGCGCCACTCTCCTGCAACTGTCGCAATCTGATGCGGTAAGCGGAAATTCGCCGCAGGTCAGCTTATGCCTTTAGTGTCGCTAACCTCATTATCACTACAACAGAGTGCGCCATGCTCGAAGAAAAGCACATCTCAGATCTTTGAGTTTGCAGTGACGAAGTCTGCATCTAATCTAGCACACGTCAATCAATAGCGTTCGGTGTTTAGTGCGACCTTTACTCTCGCGATTCCGGCATTGACGCGTTAAATCTTTGCCCGGCAGAGGTCTCGTGGAGCAGAAGAGTTTGGCTAGCTTGCTGCAGAGAGATCCGAGTGCGATTTGGCACGACCACATCCGAGGCGGGAATTGGGATGATTAGGAAGACGGACAGGCTCTACTGCCACGGGCAGAGACTTCCCAGAGCAACAAGCTTGCTTACCTCGTTCCGTCTCGAGCCCATCGTAATCATGGAACGATGATGCTTTGAGATGCAGGTCTTTTGTTCCGGCAGCCTTCCTGTCGGAACAAAGGACTGCGAAGTCGACACCTTCCGAGTGGACAGGTCTGCTGTCTGCCACTTCGACGCTCTCTGATCTGCGTTGAAGATTCACGACATGACAGATCCCATCCTCCATTCACATGAACTTTTAGTCGTATTGTCATTCCCTCATTGCCTCAGCCTCCCCATTTCTAGCTACCCTGCGAAATGTTGTTCTCCTTCGCCCATTCTGTTTTCTCTCTACTCAGTCATTTTATCCTTTGCATTCTTTCCTTTGCGAGTCACACAGTCAAAGCTAGATACTGCAGTCAATATTATACTGTCTAGCGTACAGTATCAAGCCGATGACATCGGCTTGACAAGTGAAAAACTATCTATCGTTGTATTGCTTTGTCTAATCTGGAAGAAGTTGATTTAACTAACAATGAAACATAACATTGAAGCAAACTCCAGGTATGTATTCAGATTCTACCTAGGTATTTTGGAAGGTTATGGAACTGGAAGACTGGAGTTTCATTTGTTCAGAGTCGTTTCTATTTTGTAGCGTAAGTACCTGCATACTTTTTCATTACACGGTCTTTACAGAAGCTGTAACGTGTTTCTATTTTGTAGCGTAAGTACCTACATACTTTTTCATTACACGGTCTTTACAGAAGCTGTATCGTTTTTCTAACATAGCGTACATTATCTTCATTCATCCATTTATCTAGTTTTAAATAAATTATTGTATGATTTAGTAATATATTGCCTTGTAGAAAGTCTGTATACATTGTATTATATTTTTAAATTACTGACGGCTAAAATAGTTTAGATGTGCATCTCTTTCAGATAAGATATTTTTATGTTTGAAATCATAGTTTTAAAATCATTTTTATCAACATTGTATTTGGAATATGGTATGTGTGTAACAAAATTTTGAAAAGATTCATATGTGTTCTTAGATCTGATTTATTCTATTTATAAAATAGAATAATTTGTAGAGAGAATGTAAAATTTCTATCTATGCTAATTCAAGAAACATATGTATTCACTGAAATTGTAGTTATTTTTCGAAATTTTATATTTACTTTCAAAATTTATTTTAAAAAATTTATAATTAGATTCATGAGTTCCTGACATTCATTCGGTAAAACATACTTACAAAAATTTTAATTGTTAAAACAATTATTAATTCAAGGCATCTTTGATATATAAATAATGCATCATTGATGTATAAAACAAGCTATGTTTATTTTTGTTAGTATGTAAATGGATTAAATATATAAATGTATATATGTAAGCGCAAATTATAAATATTCTTAAAAAATAAATATTACTAATATTATATATTAAAATTTATTAGAAGCCATCCGTCATTCAATGAAATACTATCATACAGTGAAATTAAAATTGATAATCATATGATAATTATACTTCATAAAGTTTAAACTTACTTTCATGCTTTGTTCTTAAAACATAGAAGCATTGAATTTTATTTATGCTACATTAAGAAAAAAAATTTGTATAATATTGTTGCTTCTATGCCATGTAAAAAGATTACTACAAGGTTTGAAAGTGAGTCATATGAAATTTTTTCAACATCAAAGTATATGATTCAAAATTCCGATGTCACTACTTATTTATAATTTAAATTAATGATATTTAATATTATTTAAGATTTAGAATATTTTTTTTCATTTTTTTTTCATTATTATATATCAATAATTGAATTTGTGACTACGAAATCGATTATTGTTTAGAGCTTTTTCACTTTACTCTAGCTTCTGCTTTAGGCTTACTCGTAGTATTTGCATTGCATTTTTTATGCCATATATCTTTATTTCTCATAATAATAAATATTTCAATATATTTATAAGTACATAGAATTTCAGAGAGATATATATATATATATGAAAAATAATAAAATATTGACATTTTTTCATGGAAAAATATTTTCTGAAAAAAAATATTATTTTGTATATTGAGAATGTTTCATCTTCATATCATCAATCGCTCTTAATCAGTTTTAAAAGAAACTTTAATTCGAAAATTAATGAGAGTTTCTGATTATGTATTCTTGACATATTATGAAGATATGTCAGAAGAGTTTGATTTGAGATAATTGTATGGTAAAGTAGATCTTACCGTGTTGTGCAATCACGATATAGTAGAGTGTAATAGAATTTGCAATGTTGAATTTATAAATCTAAGAATACTAGAGTTCATTCTGTAACTCATTATTATATGGAAAAAAAAGATGATCATGGAAATTTTGCTTTCCGATGATTGACCAAGGTGAAATGTTTACATACTGTATGTCTGATACCGATTGGAGCAATCCCAAAAATTCTACTATGGAATCAAGAAATTCACGGCTTTCTTCTAATATAAATTTTATGTTATATACACTTCCCTTCGTCCTTTCGTAACAACTATCCACATTTTAAGATGACATGATTTGACTTCAAAGATAGGATAATTTATTTTGTACATTAGCCCCGAAACTTGCAAGGGAAGAAATTGTTATAGAAAAGTCACTCAATTGCTGTACATACTTATCCTTGTCTATAATCAAGACAGCTTAAATTATTTGCACTTAGTACATTAAGTAAATTGAATTCAGCAAATTACTTGTCCAGATTTTTCTCACAGCCTAGTCCTTTCAATATACTACAGGTTCCCGATGACAATAAATGGAATTTGGTGGCTGGATGCTGCATTGCGGTAGATGGAAAACTACTGAAATGAATTTTGGGAACTCCAATGGAGGCTTTTGACGCAAACGTCGTCGTCATCCGAAGGGGACGAAGAAAAGGCCCTCAGAGTAGGAGCAGACTAGAGCAGAGCCGGGCTCGAAGATAAACATGTGACTGCCGGACGGACGAGTACGGTAAGGCACATGAATAAATGACAGGCAGGGACTTGCACCAAGCCCAAAGCAAGAACCTTATGCTATGAATCGAGTCTAGACTGTACGGATAGTAACGAACGAGCTTGCAATCTTTCTCGGGGACCGGCAAAATCTTGCAGTATTATAATTCGTGGAAGGGAATAGCATGGACCAAGTTTGTTGGAAAACTTCCTACTGCACTGTACATATTTCCAAAGAAATTAGACCAGCTCGTGGGGAACTCCGACAGAGCCAACGTTGTAACAACAACCACGCAAATTCAGTCAACAACAAGACTCACAAACGACGAGTGGCACCACTGGGCCTGCTTATTTGGTTACCGAGAATATGCACACAAGGCAGCCTCGTGGCGAGTGAGACAATTTCTCGGGTTTGGTAATGCGATTCGATAGTCCTCGGGAGAAATTGTCATCTGAGTGAACTCGTGTAAGTGGACGCGTCCAAAGACTTCATTTTTCCAGGAAGTTTCTAAAACTGGAATACGGGGAGCGATTGGAAAGTGTAGTGTAGGTTAGAAACCCGGGAGTAGTACTGTACTTCATACACTTATTCATATCTTACTCAAGTTGAATGAATGAAAAGACAACCGAATTTGTTTCTTTCGAAGTTCATTTGTATTGTCAATTGATTTGGACATCATGAAAGATTATGAGAATTAAAGATATCAGTGAAATATCATGTTAAAGATTTTAGGTGATTTCTCTCCTCCCATGTTGGTTTTTCTTGTTAAATTTCTTTGTTTAAGAAAAATAAATAAACAGAAAAAAAATTATTATTTCTTGTTAAATTTGAAACTTAGTGAAAAATCATGGAAATTGAAGTATATTTGTATTCAAAGATGTTATTGATTACTCTTTTCTTCATGTGAGATGGGAAATCATCGCTTTGATGATGTGTAGACTTGGGTAAACACATGAGAAGTGTAAGTCATAATGCACAAAATTTTAGATTTGATCACTTGCTATGTGTAAGTTAGATGAATATTTCATCGATCATTTTGAGAATCACATAAATACATTGATAATATAAAGTACAAAGAGGAGTCAACTATATTGACTAGCATTTGAACAAGGTATGAGCTAGTTATCACTCACCCTACTATAAGCTATGTCTCTAATTGATCCAACATACTATTTTGGAAGTAATTGTAACTCATCCACTAACCCTATAACATTCCATGGACCAATCAAATTATTACATATAGTAAAGTGAGAGCTAATTAACCCTAAGTGAGAGATAACTAGTGGCTCCCATAAACAATATAGAATTCTAGTGCTTGTTGAAATATTATTCCATGTACATTTTATTAGTATCTTCATGCACTTCATGATAAGATTGGACTAACTTTGTTTAACTCACTAAACAATTAGTTGTCACGTCATCTCATATATATGTCTGTTTAAGTTGGCATAATTTTGTTTTTTCTTGTGCTCGTGATTGATTTTCATGGCAAAAAATATCTTACATGTCACATGGATTAAGCTTACTATCAATTTCAAGATATTTCATATCTAATCTATGATAGTTTCAACTAAAAAAATTATAATACATGGAAATGGAATAACATACAATAATTGCATGAGCTTCACTTACTTTGATTTTGAGTCACGGTGTTTTTAAAATACAGAATTTATAAATAAATATAATCATTGTGAATTTTTGCTAACAAATCTTCATTTCATGCATTGATGTATTTTAAAAGTTTTTCCAAAGATTAAATATGAGCATATTGTTTTTTTTTCAATATACTCCTTGTCATTCTATTACATTGTTTGAGATCAATGTATTGTTTATATAGAGAACTATGTTGTTCATTAACTAGGTGTTAGATAATAAAAGATGTAACAGGATGAACAAAATTCACATAGCTTAGACAAATAATAATTAACAAATCCATATTGCGTCTGTTGAGGTTAATTCCTGTTAAGGAGTAACCTCAAATTCTAGCTAGAAATAGCTAGTAGTGTTGACCGTGCTCCGGTATACATAGTCTAAGGTTTGTGTATAACATAAAATACACTCATTAGACTCTCAATCATGCACTTTCCCCTACACGTAGCACTCTATGAGGAATCACGGTAAATCTTGCTATCAACTGTTTATAGTCATTTGATTATTGTGTTTTTATGATTCTCAATGTATGCTAGAAACATCTTATAATTTATATCATGGTCATGCAACATTCTTCATTCCATGCATGATTTGTTTATTACTTTAGATACTACTAGATTTCAAAGGATTATATTTTTTGAATCAAAAACTTTATTGAAAAAATTGTAATGAAAATAAGTTCTATAGCATTTTCACTATTATTGATATATCATTTCAGGACTATAGATTATCAATAACACAATGAATGCTTGCAATCAATGTAGGTATTTTTTTGAAATAAATCCATCCAAAACGATATATTATTGGATTTAAATATTGAATATATTAAGGATTATTATGAAAATTAAATTTTTTTCTTTTTAAAAAATATGATATTTTCCTTTTGATAAAAAAATTTTATGTTATATAATAAACGTTATTGAAAATTTAATCTAAAATTTTCATTTTTTAGATTAAAAATTAATCTCTTGAAAATTAATTATCTAAATTTTGTATTATTATTTAGTATTTTTAGATTTAAAAATTATTTATGAATTTAATAAATGATTTGTATTGGTTTCAAATTTCAACTATTTGATTCATGTCATATACGCATTGGTTGAAATTTAGAATTAGTGAAAAATGATCTATGTCATTGACATAACAGAGATCATGTCGGGCATTTGGTCTAGTGGTATGATTCTTGCTTTGGGTGCAAGAGGTCCCGAGTTCGATTCTCGGAATGCCCCAGGTTGATGGTTTAGTTGCGAGGCACGATTTTAACTGGGAATGTTTATGTTTAGCTAATCTCCGCTACGATTGTTTAAATAAGCACATAATCTCTACACAAGATATGAGACACTTTTTAAAATCAAGATTATTTTGATTTATGTTATTTAGTTAGAGATGAATGATAATTGATAATTCAATGACAGATGATTTTTTACTAATTTTAAATTTTCAACTAATGTATAGAGTAGCTTTTTTTTAAGTAGTCATGATTCTAAATTGATATATCACTTATTTAAATTTTATAATTATTTATTTTAAGTTTATTAATCAATCTGATGTATTATATACTACATAATTGAATTATCGATGATAAAAATAACTTTAACATGAATATACACATATATGAAAAAAATACTGCAGTAAAATTTATGCATTTTTACTATTTTGTAAATTTTTATTACATATAGAATCACTATTGACATAAAGTGAATATAGGTTTTGTTTAATATAAGTAATTAAATCAAGAAAGTTTACATTCTATGAATAAAACAAGATTTTTTGTTTTCTAATTTATATTTCATAATTTCCCACAGAAGTGATATTTAATATGATCTAATGAATAGATAATTTCAGCAATATTTTTGTTTATATTCCATGAATATGGGATATATACAAAAATCTATCTAATACAAAAATTGAAATCTAGCATTGTTATCTCAAAGATATATATTTGCTAATGCATCATGACTCGCATTATCTATTTTCTTTATATCAATCATATAATTTATACTGATTGATTCATTCACATGCATATATGTTAAAAAAATCCACATTCGCTTATGATTTCAAATTATGTGTTAGATAGTATCATCAAACTTATTCTTTTATAAAAACAAGTAGTTTAACTACAAAAATTTGATGAACATTATTTTGTTCAAGTACGGATATCTTACATAGAACGAAAGAATAAACACAGAATTAGAGTTAATGAAGACAATCATATATTTTATATAGTACAATGTGAGACTATTGTATGCAATGGGATTAGACTTTCTTTAGAGGATGTTGTTAATAGAAGTATGTATATATATTCTTTCAAATGGATGGTTGTAGAACAAAATTGGATATTTGAGTGTAAACATTTGAATTCCTAATACAAACATATTATTCAACTTTCTTTCTCTAGTTTGGATTTTATTAGAATTTGAATATCTTATCACACATGAGTGAAAGCAAACTTGTGACGGACATTCATACCAACACATAAACATATCATTTTTTGGCCTTTTTTAAAGTCTGTTTTATGCAACTTGTTACATTGGAGTTATACATAGTTGTAGATTTAGTATGACACATGTGTGAGTGACTGCTTGTGGTAGACTTTGAGACTAATAGCAATAGTGTCCCCCATATTTAAAACATCTATCCATAGCTATACAAAGAACACAAATACAATGAAACTAGATGACGTTACTTTAGATACTCATGTAGTTGTAGAATGCTAGAACGGAACATCTGTTTGATCTTAATTGCATCGTGGCCTATTTCGTATTGTGAGGCCTAGCCCTTAGAATTCATTCATGCACATCTTGATGGGTGTCATCCCATCCCTTTGGCTACTTTACTTGCTGTCTTCGCTCTCTTCCAAGTTGTCAATTGCCGGATAGATCTATTGAACCCTAAATAAAGGAAACAGAGAAAATTAGATATCACAATGACTTGAGTCAGAAGTCAATGAGTTCTGATAGGATGTCGAAGACGAGTCTTGACATCACCGATGATGAATAGCAATGGGCACTGTCACTCGAGGTAAATTTGGGTGTTGCGGTTGATCTTGATTCGGCATCCCCGGATTATACCCTTAGAAAACAGACCACTCGCACAAACGAGGTCACATGTTGCATAGTTCTGGAAACGGATTCGTGTCAAGCAGCATGCGACTCCCAGACGCGTAAGAAGCCGAGAGTCAATCATCCTGCTCGAAAAGTCACATCATGCAAAACTCTCCGGTCATATGCATGCACTATATATGATTATTTCTTCACAGGCATCGCTGTTCTAGAACTCAATATCAAAGATCGAACATCATGTAGCTCCTACACTTACATGATGATCTTATCGGTTTCCGGGCGAAGCTTTTGACGCTGGAATTGTTCCTTCTATGAACGAAGGTGTACACAGTTCACTAGAATATTTGAGGTACAACAACCACACTCTGGAGATCAGGTCAAAAAAAGTTTCCGCAAGCTTTATAGGTTCTTTGTCCACCCAGTTTCCTCTGTACAACACGTCCGACCACAAATGGTGAGAAAGAATTCTATGGAGCCCAGGGTTATCTTTCGTTCACTCCGTGCTCGTTTTGTCAACCCATGGCTTTGGCAGGTTGTTGTTGCACGTTATGTAGTCCCAAGAAATCGTTTCGTAACAAGCTACGGAAAGTGTGGACAATCGGTAACCACTATTTTCTTCTCATCGGTGGTTGAGTACTTTTTGTCTGCGCATCCATCATGCATCTTTCTATTTGCATGGAGAGGGATTTTGTCTTCCCCCGGAAAACAGTCGCTAATTTTCAAAGGAAAGCAAAGACCATGAAGTCAAGTTTAGACCGCAGTCTAGTTCTCGAAGTTTCAATAATACAGGCATAGTACACTAGTTTGTGTCGATGAGATATGGGATGGACACAATCGTGACGTCGCCCGGAGCTGTTTCGCTTCAAGAGAATCTTAGCAGTGGAGCTGTTGGTGATCACAACACTTCAAACTCGACCAGGGAGAGAATGAAACCTCAAGCAAGTGCGCAAGAATAGCTCCCGCATATGAAGAAATAAAACTCGGTCCCAAACGCGGACTGTTCACAGGCAGCATACCGGACTGGCCGAGGAGACGTGCCGACGAACTTTTTCAAGTCCTGCGCCTGATGCCCGACGCTTTGCAAACCAACGCGGAACTCCTCAAGGCAGGAAAGACAGACAGGCCGTATCCAGGCCCGGTAGGATTTCCGTCTCAAATCTCGAAACCATTCAAGAGTCGATGTCCCGGAGTCATTATCTTTTCGCGAGAATGGAGCTGCACTGGGGAGCATGCAAGATTGTCAGGCGAGCACTTATGATCCGCGATTCTATCGCCCCGGTGTAAAGCTGTCTCGAGAATATGTCTGCCTAATAATGATGCAAACAAGGAGATGACCACGCTCGGCGATCTTCGACGAATCCCTCCCTCCGTCGACATCGACTAATGGAGTTCGATCCACGTAAAGCCGGTCGAAAATAGGAAGCGCCGGATATTTTAGAAAATAAAGTCCCGACATCTTGCTCTCGGAGGCATATGACCGGCTGGCTGGCTGGCTGGCTGGCGCGGGAGCAGATCCTCGCCGGTCGGGTTCCTCTCTTTTACTTTAGAAAAGCCGGGCAGTTTTTAATGAAAAGACGGGCGCTCTCGCAACGCGTGTCGAGCCCAGAAAGAGCGGTCCTGTCCTCATTGGCCAGGTTATCCACGGTTCTTATACGACGAACCTGGAGGCTTTGGGTGCGCGCATCCGCTTTTTAGCGAGTGGACATCACTGCACTGGAACCATCGCCCCGGGATGGGATAAAGCCTTTACCCGACGTGAACTCGAAGCCTCAGGATACGGTAACAAGGCCGAACATCCTCAAAACGTCCGCGGACCGAAGGTGTGCGAGCGGGCGGGCAGCTTCGAGACCCGGTACGGGCTGACCGACGGAAGGGAGGCCTCGAGTGCCGTCATCTGCATGCATTGAGGATCGGGGGTCGGGGGTCGGGGGTCGGGTTCGAGATCGCCTTCGGATCGAGAAGGCGGCACTACAGGAGGAGTTGCTTAGGTCCCGGAAGCCGAGCTGCCAAAGGCTGCCAAGGGACCGCCGGATATGCAAGCACAGTTGGTGGCGAGGGGAGGAGCGGACCGGGAGGTAGGCCCGCCCGCGCGAATGATCCTGCGTGTAAGTACAGAACCCGGTCCGGCGCGCCTGGAGTCCTGGGAAACTTGTGCGTCAAGGGTCCCGACTGGGACTGGGGCTCCGTCGCGCATCGGGAGAAAAGCGAGCCTGCGCATCTGGGCGACGATAATGCGAGGGCTAGTTCGGTGTGTACGTGCTGTGCACGGTCTATGACACACACTTGAGTGGAGATTGTTCTTTTTCTCATGATTATCTTCACGTCGATGGACATAAAATATCCGTAAAAAGGAAGGCGAACGATCGACTGCGAGCGAGCAGCTGAAAGCGCTTTTGATCCGGCCCTTCCACCACCTACACCTCGGCAGCTGCAGGGGGTTTGAACATAATCTAGACTACGATTACGATTCCGGGCCCTCGCATCGCATCCCGGTGAAGCGCGACCGTCCGAGCGGGCCGCTTTTCAACGGCCAAGGACCTGCTGCTCTTGAATATCTGCGCTCTCATAATCTCGCGCAGGCTTCGACTGCTGGCAAGAGTGCGGTCACCGGTCCGTTCATCTTGACCGGTACTTTCTTGTAGTGAGAGAATGACCGTTATCGGAACGATAAGGACATGCTTCGTTGGTCGCAATGGAATGTTCTACTGCAATTGGATGTGACCGGCGTTAACGCATGTAAGAATCGACACTGCGCACTACTTTTGTCCCAAGTAGTTGAGTTCTAGGTCCAGTTGAACGAATCCATAGCCATCCATTATCACGGAGTAAATTAAACCCCGTAAGATATCTATCAGATATCTATCAGCGACGTGGATGAAGTTAATAGAAGTTGCAAATTGCTGGATTGTCGTTGGTGGGGGAACGGCATTTTCAAGCGCTTGGGATTTGCATCGTATTTCCACCTCGCTCGTGGATTTCCCAGAACTTTCAAACTTGGTCGAAATTCAACGTCTGCGAAGAAAATGTTTGCTGCTGCCATGAAGAAAGTAATACATGTGGAATTGATGCAAAGAAATGGTCCCGAGGCCCTGAATCAATCTTCTTTGACTTCATGATCTTCACCCGGTCCTATAATTACCTATGCATTCGTCTCATGAAGTCAAACCATGAAAATTTCAGCGTTTGAACTGATGACGCAAGTCTCAATATGATTGCAACCTCATTTGTCGTTCATGCTTTTGGTTCCTCCGTGGCTAGTGGCTAAGTGACATAATTTTCACGAGAATCTTCTTCGCATAACTTAGTGCTAAGAATAGGCTAGTGTAGTCTGATAGTTTTATTTTTATATATACTCACACAACCAGAAGTTAATGTATAATAAACCTCAAACCGATTATTAGCAAATCCGAAATTAAATAAATAAATATATATATATATGTCATTTTCAAAGAATCTCATTTTTTTTAGTTTCATCCATAAATATGCAAGTAATAATATACATACACATCACGGACACATGATAATATCATTTCATTATTTTTCGAAAATAATCTTATTAAAATCCATTTTTTTATGGAGGCATCCAATGTATATATAATATTTTGAAAATTATTCATCTGATTGTGAAAAGAACTATATCACTAGTACATTTAGACATTAAATATTCATTACATGTTGGCTTGCTGAAACATCTGATCCAACTTATCTCAAATCTAAGTAAGAAGCTCTAAATGCCACAACAATCACCGAACCTCCATCTAATAAAGAGCTAGCATATAAATGGATGTGACAAAATCTACTCATTCCTACCAACAAAATGTCAATCTTGTCTAGAAGAGGTAATATATGTGCAATGAAATTCTAAACCTATATTATCAAGTCTACCCATTCTTTCAAGTGTAACACTTTCACATGTATCTTGATTTCTTTTAATTCAGATACAGACATCTATTGATCAATTTTGTGTTTAAAATGATTGATATGAAAAGATTTTGAATTGAAAATTAGACATCTAAGATGTGAGAGTGACACAATTTTTTTTATTCTCACAATCATGCAACAAAATTCTTTAATTCAAATAATAATTGAACCTGCAAAATCTCGTCGAGTACTAAGGTCATATATCAACTTTTATATAAAAATCCTTTATATCAGTATCGTCATTTAATTTCGTTTAGTTTGAAAAGAAATATCATTTTTGTATAAGTTATCGAATATCATTATATTTGATAAAATAAAAATGTTTTTCTTTGAAAATCTACTTTGAAAATATTATCATTAGAACAATAAATATATCATATGTGGTACTTATAAAATCTTACTGAAATTTGACATATTTCTGAAACCCAAAAGTATTGATGAATTATAAATTTTTTAAGAACCAAATAATATGCATCATCTGTAATATTTTATTGAAATAATAATAATTAAATTATAATCTATCATTATTTTTCAAATTTATGTCAAAGATGAGCAATAGTGACTCATTGAAGATTGATTATTTTTTCAGTATCTTTTTCTTGTACTCAAACATAGTTAAAGATTTCTTACTTAATTATTTTCATTATTTTGTAAATTAATCAATTAAAATATAAAATTTTAAACTGAATACAATGAAAAATTTCAGGATTATGGATTGACACATTCTATTACTATTTTGAAAAAGATGATTAAGTAATTTTTACTTCAAATTAATAACTAAAGTTGTTATAACCTTTAAGTATTTACGTATTCACAGATAAATATATTATTATTCTTCATCGCTTTAAAGTAAACTTGCAATAATTTCTTAAATTATATATGTATGTACTGTAGATCCATATGTATCAATAAATTACTAATGGTTACTAGTGCCATGGTGGTCATAGTGAAATTAACTGGAATCTCTTAAACAAAATTTACGACACTAACATAAAATTTTGAGAATACTTACAAATCTACATTTAAAAAAATCTCAACAAAACTTCTTTATACGCTAACACTCGATCATAATTCTAACTGATATTACATAAACCCTGGTTTTCATGGACATTTCATAACGATGAGGTTAAAACGTGAAGGATGTGCTAATTGTTCGGTCATGTGCAAAAGCAAAGAGACATTTATTCCGAGAATGGATTCAAAATACTCAGTCGACATGGAAATATAGGTGGCTACGTACACATAAAACAAATCACGCTTTACTCACTCTATATCCTAATTGTATAATTGAGAGCGTGGGTGATCTCTCGTATTTAGTGACAGACTAACTACTTTAACGAATTGAGGTTAAGTTCATCCAAGTTAGATCAATACTGAATTAACGTCCAATACGAAGTTTAATTTCCATGAATACAGCGACTGAAACTTAACTCACATACAATTGAAATATTATACATCTAGATAACACTATGATATGTACATGTTTGAGAATGATCTGCATGTCATAGACATTAAAGAATGACGTTGAAATGAGTTATTTTTTATAATTGGTTTAAATAAAAATTTTTGTTTCGTTTACGAGTGTGATACTATCATGCATAGATCCTCATTGTAATTATATTTACATTTTCAGTTCATTGAAGTAGATCTACTTTTGATTCCACTCATTTTAGATGAAGTTAACTGAGTATCTAGAAGATGTTACTTTATTGATGTAGTCTGATTTACAAATATTAATCACATAAATCTGGAATCTGAAGTTAGAGGAGTTGAATCCCGTGAAACTTCTGAATACTCCATACATATCGATTATTACGGAGTTAAACGACTTTGTCTGAACATTCGCAGTTCACATGATATTATTAGAAGACATGGAAAACTTAAGTTTTAGCCCGAAAATGAAAAAACAAAAAACTCTGACAGATTTAGGAGGAAAATTACTTATTTCCTTGAATTACGTGTAGGCTTTTGATCAAAGGGATGTGTTGATGGATTCAGAAGAGATTTGTTCTCCAAAATATCATAATCTATCCAATCTTGTCAACTCTATTAAAATTCGGTCACTTACTACACCACCGAGGAAAAAGACAACGTTTTGATTCATTGGATGCACATATCAAAAACATGTGGTTCGAAGGAAACTTGTTTTTCAGCACTATCGTCTGGAATATCTTCCATCCTGTCCCACGTTCAGATAGCGTGTCCCATACAGCTCTAAAGCTCAGAAAGTGGAAAAGTGGAAATTTTAGAAAATCATAGAAGTAGTGTTCCTGAGGTACCACAAATGTCGACGTTGGATTTGCGTTGAATGTGCGAAACTTACCTTGATGTCTCGGAACCATGAACGTAAGGCGGTCAATGCACTTATCTTCTGGAGATCGAGGAGACCACAGTGTCGGATAGGAAAGAGAACGTCGGGTACATGGAACAAAAAGCGAGAAAAAAAATTCCGCATAGCTTCCATATAGTTGGGGGTTGAATATTTCTCTCTGAAAGTGCCATTCCGCCATGGTGCTCATTGGTGCCCGTGTGACTTCTATTTTCAGAAATGTATGTGCAGAGGGTGCGCCATAGTCAGACATGACGTAATTCGCGCCTTGCTCCACTGTGTCGAGCACGATCTGAACCTTGGCAAGTTTGTCTTGCTTTCTTTACCAATCAAATGGCGCTACAAAATTTCCACAGTACTCTTGGAGGTTTCATGTGTTTTCTAGTCGTCCAGGTGATGACTGGGGAGATAACATGTGAGGTAAAAATCCACTGACCCTCCTGCATTCGCTCCAACGAGACAAGATACGGGACGAAATGTTTGAGGGACAGCCCAGCGAAGCAGGTCTGCTTCACTGGAGCTGGAATTATTTCGCCCTGCAAGGCTAGCTACATGCTTCGATCGTGTAAATCAAGGGAGGATCATTGGGCTCAGTCGGATCATCACAAAACTCCGAATGATTCCGCTGCATGAAATTACTCAAGGAACAG